CAGCTATTATTATCATTATCATCATCATTATCTGCATTGGGGAGGGGACCCCTGAAGCTCAATGGATAGTAGCCTATGTGTATATTTTGACGTGGACAGACACTCCCTTTTGTGCTTCTCCGTGCACAGAATGCAAAACTCTTAACATCGTTGATTTAAAACAAGGAAACCCCTACGTAAAGGCCTGATTTTGGGAAGGAAGATAATGCAGGCAATTTCCAACACTGAGGCTTGTTACTCGGTGTCATGCAGAGTCAGGAGTTGCCATGGAATCCATTTGCTTCTAAACCAGCTCCTCCTGCTGGAATACTTTCTCATTATCATTTCTACCAGGAACAGCAAAAGGTGCTGAGTAGAAGAAAAATGCTATCAGAGGGCAAAGCCAGTTGTACATCTGGATTGAGTATAGAAATCTAAAATCTACATTCAAAATGGGCTCTCAGCTCTGGGTTACAAGAATGCAAATTGTAGATGTTCCTTAGAAGTTTGGAATAAATAAATAAAACTTCAAATAGCACACAGCGCAAGCAATATGTTGTACTGGGTGTAGCATTCATTTCCTCAAGAGAACAGACTACTCTTCCCATTTTAGGGCTAGGGAACTGAGGCTGAAATATAATATTATAAACAAAGTAACACAGTGAGTACAGTTAGAACCCAGTTCTCTCTTCTTTGTATATATGTTACTTCTCTTCCAAGCAGTTATTTTTTAAAATACATATATTATTGTTTTTGTATTTGCATGAGCTGGGGACAATTGTCACAGGGAGTAATGGTGTTATTTTATTATTTTTAGTAGCAGTAATTATTTGCTGTATCCTATTTTTTTCTCCTGGCAAGCCTATGGTTGGCCCAATCCTCACACATTGACCTTTGGGTTCAAGGGCTATCTTCATCCTCCTGACAGCTGTGATTGACCCAAGGGCACCAAGGAACTTTACCAAGGAGTAGCAATTTGAACATAGGTATTTCTAGTCTAAGGAATGCGGGTGGCGCTGTGGGTTAAACCACAGAGCCTAGGTCTTGCCGATCAGAAGGTCGGCCATTCGAATCCCCATGACGGGGTGAGCTCCCGTTGCTCGGTCCCAGCTCCTGCCCACCTAGCAGTTCAAAAGCACATCAAAGTGCAAGTAGATAAATAGGTACCACTCCAGCAGAAAGGTAAACAGTGTTTCTGTGCGCTGCTCTGGTTTGCCAGAAGCGGCTTAGTCATGCTGGCCACATGACCCGGAAGCTGGCTCCCTCGGCCAATAAAGCGAGATGAGCACCGCAACCCCAGAGTCGGTCACGACTGGACCTAATAGTCAGGGGTCCCTTTACCTTTTTATTTCTAGTCTAAGTCTAGGGTTTTTTCCACTATATACCACACAGCTGCTCAAGAGCAGCCTACAAATGCTTTACTCCTGGCTTCCCACCCAGGTGGATTTCTTTATTTTGAATAGTAGAATTACATCATGGGCTTTCAGACCACTCTTGGGACATTAGGAACACAATTCAGAAGAGATTAGGCAACCTTAAGTATTATTAATGCAAATGGTGCTTGATCACAGACTTGAATAGTTGCATGCAATCCCACTGATATTTTAAAACAGGTGGACCTAGTCTTGGAGAGATTGTATCCTATGCATACCACTGCAAGAGTCCAGAAGCACTCTCTCCAAAAATACAATTCTACCTGAGACTAGTGAAATGAGCGACCCACCCTTTTCTTCTCTGAATCAAGGTTCCTGTTCCTTCGGAAATCAAATGAGATCCCAAGTGTTCCTGCTATAACTAGAATAAAACTTTAAGACAAACCCAAAGTATGTGGGAATGTTGAGGGTGGCAGGAGAGGATATATTGTTTATTAATATCCTTCCTAACTTGCGCTAGCAAGTTCCTTTACTTAGCAGAGTGCATTCCCCTTCTTATGCGGCAGAAAACAAGTTGCTGACTCGTCTGAGCCTTTTACTATTATACAATTCAATCTAGCTCAGACTGAATTGTGTTTTCCTGGTAAGATCCCCTTTTGAATCCCTCCTAAAAGGATAAAGACACCACAGTCTTATTCATAAGTAACAAAAGTAGTTTTACCTACAATCAGGCAGAGCACAGTGTGATCCCTGAAGGCAGGCTTTAGGCTTAAAGTTACAAACATGTACAAATAGGTTTACCCCATGGGAGTTGACCTAGTGACTGCAGGCTAGCAGTCCAGGAAGTTTGCAGGATGAAAGGGAAGATGGAAGAGAGAAAGGTGGCAGTGTGACTGGACCTTTAGGCAGGTCTGGAAAGGTCACGCCCACCTACAAGTCACATGCAAAGAAGGATGCCCCAGGAAGAACAGGAAGTTTCGACTGGCTGGACCAAACATTCCCTTGCATGTCCACTCTAGCAGAACAAGGAATGTTGTACTTGACTGCTCCCAATGGATTACATCCCACAAACTACAGTCCAGTAGAGGTCCAGGTACATCCAAGCCAAGGTCAATTAACACAGGCAGTTGAGCAGACACAACCCCTCAGCTCTGCTGCCCTTTGGTACTTTGCATGTTGACTGCAGCATCTGGGCTTGATGAGGCAGGTGTCCCTCACCTGTTCCAAGCCTACTCCAGCAGAGGAATCACACCCCTCCTCCCAGATCTAGCAAGCCCCAGCTGGCCAGCTAGGGAGCTGAGTTGTGGGCCCTTGCCTCCTAGAGTGCCATTCCTGATGCTCCCTACACCTCAGAGCCCACTGTGTTTGTGAAGACAGGGCCCTCTGGCTCTGGTGATGGGTCCTGCTGCTCTGGTTCCTGTACACTGACCTCCATCCCCTCACCATCCTCCATCATGCCATGAGTACTTCCTTCCCCATTCCCTGCTTGCCCCAGTGTGTCCCAGTCCCAGCTACACCCCTCGCCTGGATCCTCTTCCTCCTCTCTGTCATCCTGCCATGACACCATGCTATATATGTGCATGGATCTACACTTCACAATTTACCACTATGCTAGTGTTTTCCTTCCCTGGGTTTGATTGACTGATTAATTTTGAAAAGTGAGGCATCAGGTTCACCATCTCCATGAGCCCTGATACTAATAGACTGCAATTCTATGCACATTTACCTGGGTTCCCAAGTAAACGAAGGCTGTATTCAGACGACACTTTATTCCTTCTTCGTAACATTTCATTATTATTTTTTTATTTTATTTAATAAAGTGAAATGCCCTGTATTTTTTAAAAAAAATCTCCCTGCCCCTTTTCTCAGAGCTACACTTTTTCCTCTCCATAACCCATTTCACTGTAAAGTCTTGGATACTCTTCTGTCAATCTCCTGTTTGCTGGCTAACCACCTCTTGCGCCAGTCAGCCAATCTCAATCCAGAACTATTGCTATGGACAGGAGGCCTAACCCATCTCTCTCCAGGCAGAAAAAGAGAATTTTATCTTGCCAGAGCTACTGACAATTTGTCCTAGTTGTACAGTTTCCCTCTCTCTCCTGTTATCAATATCTCAATCCAGCCAATATATCTAATATTAACTGGCCAACCTATTGGGTAGACCCAGGAGATGTTCTGAGCATGCTCAAAGCTGTTTCCTTCAAGGCTACACCTCCAAACAACTCAAAGCACTCTGCATACAAAGAGGGGAGTTTTAAAAGCTTGGGAATTGTTGATTTTTTTTATTTGTTTAGTATATGTTATAGAGGACAGAGGGCAAGAGCAGTGTGAAACTTTTGATAATGAATATTTAATCTATCATTTCCTTTTTATTAGAGTTGCATTTATTTCTGTGAATAGGCTGCAGGATACTATGGAATAACTTGGAGGAGAAATGGTGGGCTTCAGATAGCTTGTGTGTGTTGCAACTTGTAAGTGTTTGTGCTGCTGCTTACCTTGTGGCCTAACATTTTTTAGGCTACAGCAAATGTAGTGTATGTAGTGAGGGACTTTAGAATGGGAACATATTTCAGAATTGGGTACTGTGCACCCTGAGCCTATTTACACAGCAGCATGTCCTACTGCAGGTGGGAAGGTGTGTATAAGATGGCAAATTAACAATGTACATGTCTACTCAGCAGAAAGCCCCATCAGGTTTAATGAAATTTATTCCCATTTCTATGATTGCAGTCTAAAGTTGGACAGCTTTTGCCCACAGTTCCTGTAGCAGTCAAACAGTATTTTGCTCCAGCTATATTTGTCAGCAAAGTGTTGCCACACAGGCATCTTTTGGATTCCCCACCTTTCCTTTTTTTTCCCCTGCAACCAGTGAATGGGAAGCTTGTGCATTATTTTATGTTGTTATCTCTTTTCCTGTAATTTTGTTACAATTTTGGTATGACTATGACCTGCATTGGGTTCTGTTCAACAGCAGAAAACTGGGCTATACATTTAAACATAAATGGGTGGCATCTAAGAATGTAAGGGTGAAGTGTCCCTTTGTTTTAGGATGGGAATAGGATTCATTTTGGCTGGGATTCCAGTATTCCAGTTTAACTTGTGTGTGAGATAAAAACGAATCAAAACTACCACCTAAGGAGAAGCACTGCTAGAACTGAAAAGGGCAGCTTTTCAAGGAAATCTGTCAGTAATTCTGCTATCTGTTACTTAGAAGAACGGGTTGGAAACTTGGTTTTCTGACACCTCCTAAAAGGCATCAATGAACTTTTTGGAACCTCCACCCACTGGCAACAACACACAACCCAAAGTAATGTGGGCAGTCTTCAATGCTGGATTGACAATGGTGAGAGTTAGAGGACCAGGGCAGGCACTTTTCCTTGGTGCTAAACCCTGCCCTCCATGGGATTCCCTTCTTTCCATGCAGCCTAAATTGCACATTTCTCTGCATTGGGTCAATGATGTCAAGGGCTCCTCTCAGCAGAATGAATAGGAGAGCCCCCCACCTCCGCCCCAAGGCAGCATGGCTAGCCCTCATCTCTTTTTTCTGAAGAAGGAGGTGTAAAACCATTAAGCCCAGAGCCTGAAGCTCCATAACTGCACCACGGCAATATATGGGAAATATATCCCACTTCATTTAATCAGACTGACACCAGTGCAGCAATGTTTAATTCCTCAAAGGAGGGGTGTTAGGGTTTGATCCGTTTTCTGGCTGGACATCACTCCTTTGATCCCAAGGCCCCGGAAATTTGGCAGCTGTTCGAGACTTGGGAAGTCCCCTGAAACACAGATCCAAATGAACGCAGCTCCATCATCTGAAGCTCCTGGGTCGCTCCGTGAGTTGTGGATCGGACTGACTGTCAGCGTTGCTTGCTAAGAGGAGCCCTTCGGCTGCTCGGCTGTTTCACTTTGGTTCGTCCCTGAAGCAATGCAACTGATCTTGCGCGCTGTCCCAGGGCTGTCAGCTATAAAGGAGAGTCCTGCGTGCGTCCTTTGTGCATCTGTAGAAAGCAGTGTGTGTGTGTGTGTGTGGAGAGAGAGAGAGAGAGAGAGAGAGAGAGAGAGAGAGAGAGAGAAGGCACTGGGTGGCAGTGCCGTAGGCATTTTGCAGCCACGCTGGAAAGCCAGCGCAGCAATTCAAGGACAATTTGCAGCCAAAGTTTAAGGCGCTTGAAAGTGTTGGCAATCCGGAAGCTAGCAACGTAAGCACATTCTCTCTTCTTGTTTTGTATGATATTCTGATTCTATTATTCTGTTTAAACCCGCAAGCCCAAAGTACCAATGAATTGATTAAATCTGTTGTTGCTGCTGGTGGAAGCCGTGGTGTTTGTTGTTATTTTATCACCCCCTCTTCACCCTTAAGTCCCGGGGCGGGCTACAACAATTTAAAGCACAATATTAGAACCACCCCAGGGCCTTAGTGAAGCCCCAATCCACTGGCTCCGTTTCCCGTCCTTTCCCCTCTCCAAGTAGCCAATCCCCCATAGACCCGACGCCTTGTCGTTTCGCGGCGGACAGACTTGCGGGCTTCAACCGCGAATCAAGGCGGCCAAACGGCCGTCGAAAGTTGCGACGGGGAGCAGCAGGTCGGCCTGAAAGGCCCAGGGCGCGTTGGCACACTCGGTTGGGACTGAGCCCCCCTGACCTCAGTGGGGTCTCTTTTCGGGGGAAGCCTCCTGCAGGCCGCCCTGTCCCTCACAGCGACTGCAGGATCCTTCTGAGCTCAGGCTCGCGCGTTTCAATCCCCTAGACGGCCTCGCAAGTACGAGGGGGTGGGATGGCGCGGCCCTAACGTGGTTTTCGCCCCTCTGTCGATCAAAGGGTTTGCTGCGAGCGACGGGAGAGTGGAAGGGAGGAAAAGACGCAATGGAAACGTCTCTCTCCCGCCCCCGATCGGTGGCCTTAATCGCAGGTCTGCGAAGGACTCGTCGGGGGACAAGGAATTAATGGCACTTCCTTTCCTACCTCTAACGAAATCATCTCCTCCTCCAGTCTGTTACTGGAGCGATTATAGCTTCGTTTGGGAGCTGCGTCTTCTCTGCCCGATCCCCACCCTGGCTAAACTCCACGACTGGAATTGAAACCGATTCCCCCCACTCCTTATTAAGAGCGGCTTGGCTCATTACAGTATTCGGTTGAGCTGGGCAGAGCGTGTAGATCGGGCCCACAGAGAAGGAATGGCATTGCCTCTCTTATTTATCTCTCCTGGACCGTCCATTCCTTTTCCACCCACCCAACTTAAAGCTGTACGCGTTGAATTCTGTTTTGTTTTGGCTTTTAAAGAAGGCCATTGGTTTCTTATTGATATCACTTTTGCATCGGGAAAACAAACAAACAAACTAACTAACTAACTAAAGATTACCACCCTCTTGAGGAATAGAATAAATTTACCACCATTAAGCTCGGCTGTAAACTGCCAAGGTGCAAGCCAATCCCAAACACTTTGACTCACACAAGTCTCACAGACTTAACTCCCTCATAGGGATGCATTAGGATTGGAGTCTATTGGCAAATAGGCTTTCCCACTAAACGTATTTCGAGTTCAGGCGCCTGCTCCTTTGGAAGGCACGTTGCCCCAGAGCGCATTTAACTTGGAAGCTGTGATCTCTTCCTGCATCCGTTTAGGGCTGGAAGAAAGGGAAAGCTGGTCTCCGCTATCTTTGGAAGCTTAAAGACTCCAAGATCTGGGTTCGTATTAAGCGACAGTTTGAGGACATTTTTGGAATAATTATTATTATTATGTTTATGTCTTGCCTGTGTCCAAAGTTTCAAGGCGAGGGCCATTTAGAAAAGGGGGGATCCAAACAGTTTTTCAAAATAAAAATCTTCCGGAGAAATCCACATTCTCCTTCTTTTATGACGTACAAATCTCTAAGCCACGGGGAACGCCTCTGTAGAAGGACTTTTTTCCCCATTCGAAAACTCCACCTGCATAACATTTAGCCGTTGTCAGACAAACAAAACAGCAGATCAGGGTAGATTAAACACTTAATGGCATTAAATCAAGGATCATGTCCCCAAGTATGCTCTCTCTATATATATATAGAGAGAGAGAGAGAGGAACAGGACTCTGGTGCTTTTAATAGTTGTGCAAAAGAAGGAAATTCTTTTGCCACTAGTCGCCTTAGCAAAACATCGTCTTCCGGGCCTGGCCGTGAAATTTTAGTAGTCAGTGGCTGCTTAGTCAGTTGCCCCCCTGAGCATGCACATAATTGGCTTTAGAGGCACGTTTCATTTCAGATCAGTAGAGAGAGCAAACACAATCCACACTACTATGCCGCCTGCCTGCTCTTCCCATAGGGCTAAATAGATGAACCCAAAAGACCAGATATAAAATATATAAAAGATATGCTTTAAGTATATCCTGTGGGTTTATACAGGCTTCTCCACCTCACCCTCTTCCCTGCATTTATCCCTGAGAAATTACTTGTGCAGTTTGATCCTATCCATATTGGAAACGGGTTGCGCGTGTTCGGGATCCAGCGTCTGAGGCCTCGCTTTCCTAAACCGTTCTGCGCCTTGGTGATCCTTAAAAGAAACAGCCTCTCTGAGTCGTCTTCCAAAGGCAAGCAGAGCCATGGCTCTATTTAGCTAGTCCCTTAAAAACCCGTAGAGATGATGTTTTTAATCCAAACATCTAACGGAAACGAAGGGAATTTTAACTGGGCTTTTAAAGCACTGCTGGATAACAACTAATGAAAAGCGCAACCTTTGACGTGTCCCATTGACACGCACAGCCCAGACAAGTGTATATAATAGGTTGGCAGCAAAATAAGTCTATGCATGTTTACTTGGAGGTAAGTCCCACTGTGTTCTATTGGCCTTGCCTTATTGTAATGTAAGGCAACAGAAGCATCCGTGTAACCAGGCAGAGGTGTGTGTGTGTGTGTGTGTGTGTGTGTGTGTGTGTGTGTGTCTATCTACACACACACACACACACACACCCCCCTGTACATTACCTCTCTGCACATTTACACATTTTATCTGCTCATTTTCGGTGCTTGTTTACTTTAAACGAGAGAAGTTGTAATCCCTCCACCACCAGGCGAAAACTTGCGTGGCAGACCTTGGCTAAGGGAGCTCTTGACAACACGTTCTTTTGCTTCTGAAACTGAAACACTTTCAGGCTGCCGTCCGAAAACACACGAAGTGAGGGAACGATGTGCTGAGGATTGCGGGGTTAATTCTCTCCCCTAGGATTTGGCCAGCCCTCCAGTTGTATGTGTGCGTATTTTCTTCCCTTCCAGTTCTGAATCCGCCTCCATTATCATCAGCTCGCAAGACTTTCTTCTTCCTCTTCTTCTTCCTCTTCCTCTTCTTGGTGCAGTTCGCCCCACTTTCTGCCAACAGATAATTTAAAGCTGAATCCTGTTTTATTGAATCGTCAAGAGTGGCGCGCCGCGTCCCAACGTGTGACTGTCCTTCAAACCGGCACGAGAGCGCATTAAGGAGGCGTGGGTTGTACAGACCCTAAACAATTACTACTCTGCTCTGTTATTAAACAATTACTACTCTGCTCTGTTATCTGTTTCTAGAGGAGGCTAGTAAACCTCTGTCCTAAACTCGGATAATAAATTGGTCCTATAGAAATTCGTGAAAATATATTTCCAAATAATGTGCTCGAATTTGAGTCAGCAATCCTCAAACTGATCACTCGGAAGGAAACCCCGTTGACAACAGAAGTGGATACGGTTTATTTTTAAACGCCGGCCAATAAGTTTAGGGTCTGATTCTGAGGCCATTAAACGTTTTCACTCTTCCTTGAGTTTCCCACGGGCGTTATTTGCGTTCGATACCTCCAAGTTCACAGGCACAAGGGATCTGCCACCTTGGAAGAGCGCTGGTCCAGCGGGGACCATGACTCCCAAAACCTTCCTGTCTCTCCAGTTGCAAGAAGCAAAGTGGTTTAACATGAGCCTGGCGCGAGCAGAAATAGGAGCGGGGTGCTCTTTCCCCAGGACTGTCGAAGAGCTGCCGTCGGGGTGCTTTCCTTCTCATCTCCCTGGGATCCCGGAGCGGAGCGATCCAGCCGCTTCTTGGCGCGTCCCCTCCTTCGGAGCGCGGAGGTCAGAAACCAGACGCGGCGCGCGCAAGGGTAAAAAGGGGTGTGTCCGACATGCGGTGACGTCACTGCGCCGCCCAGCCAGTGAGAGGCCGGCCTTTCGGAGCCCCGTTCCAATAGGAAGCGAGCTAGCTCTGTGAGTGGCATTAAGGCCGGGCTAGAAGAAAGCAGGACTGAGAAATGAAGTTGTGCTAAAAAGCCCTTTTGGCTATCCAGAAGTTTATTAGGCATTTCTCAGCCGGAAATTAAGGGATCTTCATTAATAGCCCCTCTTCATCCCAGATTAGAGCCCAGGGCGAACCTGGGAGAAACCGAAGCGAGATGGGACGGAGGAAAACTCCATTGCCCGCGGCAGGGGAAGCTAACTTCTTCTCCACCTTGGGAGGATCTTCCTGAGTTTCATTCAAGCGCCGAGATTGTCACCTTGGGCGCGTGGACAGAAGGTAAGTGGCCGAAGGGCACGCGAGAAGGCGGGGGAGGCGAGGGCCCCCGAGGCTGTTTTGGGGAGCGGGGAGGTGCGATCCCTTCGGACTTGGCCAAACATCATCCGGACTCCCCCCCCCCATGTGGCGCTCAGATAAAGGTTATCTGATGCTCTCCCTTGCTGCGAAAATCTGTTTTGGGGGAAAGCGGGTGGGAGCACTCCCTTCGAAGGAGCTCTGCGTAGCAGTGCAAGAGAATGATTTTGGAAGGAGCGTTTGCAAGGGACCCGAACGGGATCAGCTGCGGAGGGTTCTCCAAGGGCAGAGCGACAGAGGTCTCTGTTTGATCCTACCATTCCTCCCTCTCCATATTGAGATCCAAATAGAGGGAGGGGGGAGAGGAGGGACTAGCTGATTTCATTATCCACAGGTGCCGCCATCCTCAAAGTGTTTAAGCCAGAGTACCGGATTTAATAGCCGAACTGGTTCAAATGGGTTTCAAACAAGACCGGACACTACATTAAGCGAAGGAATCCGGCGTAACTCGTTTCTGGATCGGAAGCACCGTTTGCATTGCAGGGCGTTGGACTAGATGACCCTCGGTGTCGGTGTCCCTTCCAACACTACAATTCTTTCTGGCTGCATCATTGATTGTATTTTTCACCTAAGAACTGGTTGCTAGGAGGAAATGGGAGATTGACACCATAGTAATAATTAATTATATCAGCAACAAGGGGCCCAAATTATTGGGGAAATCTGCGCGAATCCTGTTAAAATGAACAGAATCTGAGAAACACTGATCTCAACAGAGTGTGATAAGAACATCTGCATGGGACTGGGCCCTAAATAATAATGGTGGTGGTGGTGATTACTTTTTGTTTTTACTTGGTTAAAGACTCTGCATCTGTGATGTATTGTTTAATGGAGTTACGCAGAGCCGAAGCGTCCCCCTGGTTTCGATTATTCGGAGGAATGGGCACCCCTTGAAACAGTGCCGCTTCCAAGGGAGGCCATCTGATCCCTTCTCCTCCTCCCATTCCCAATGCTGAAAGCGACACTCACTGGCCCCAGTTGCAGTCCTCGGAAGCTAGTCCCGCTGGGCTCGACGGGGCTTACACCCAAGGAAGTGTGCGCAGGATTGCACAAAATTGTAATCCTACAGGTGCCTGACTCCAAAAGCAAGCCTCCGCTGAGTTCAGTGGGACTCACTGCCCGGGAAGGATGCCCAGGTGGATGTCAGCCTCATTCCCTCCGGGGAAAGGCTTTACTTACTTACACACCGCAGAATGCTTCCAAGGTGCGATGTTTTCCCTTGAGAATTAAACCCTTCGACCTCCCCGTCTCACCTCCCTGCCGTTGTTGTCTTCACAGTAGCCTGAAGGAACGGTCCCTGCGTCTGCAGATTCCCGGCCACTTTTTTCCCCGCAAAGAGAGAGGAAGAGCTAGAGAGGCCTGGAGATTGTCAAACGTTTGAAGAGACGCTATCATGTCTCTTTTGCCCGGAATTACATTTTCAGCCACGACAGGAAGAAAGCATCAAGGACCCCCTGACTGGATTGCTGAGCTCTGAAGCCATCTTGCCGCTCTCCTCTCTACCAGTCGCTTTTGGATTCCCAGAGCTGGATTCGCAACTTTTACAGCCCATTGATAATCAGCTCCTTAATAATAATAATAATAATAATAATAATAGATGGTCTTGCATCTATCACCATCCCGCACCCTGAAGCTTAAGCATTCGCGCGCCCGCAATTTAAAATGACTTTGTGATTTCAAAACAAAGCAACAAACAATTTCACGATGCTTTGCTGGAACTGACCGAGGCGCCCGCACGCACACTTTTGTTTATTTTTTTGGATGCATCTGTGGAGCTTACACTGTCAGAAAGAAAGGGGAAGAAACCACCATGAAAGAGAAGTCCAAAAATGCGGCCCGGACTAGGCGGGAGAAAGAAAACAGCGAGTTTTACGAACTGGCCAAACTGCTGCCTTTGCCTTCCGCCATCACCTCGCAGCTGGATAAAGCCTCCATCATCAGGCTCACCACCAGCTACCTGAAGATGCGGGTGGTTTTTCCCGAAGGTAGGTGCCCATTGTCGCGGGATTCAGCTACCCACCCCTATTTCCTAATCAGCGCGCGGGGGGGGGGGGAGGTCCTTGATAGCCCAGGAGGCCCGCAGTACTGGCCTCTTCCTCCTCTCATCTGGTCCAGTAGTTTAAGAGCGGACTAGGGGAGCCGTCGAGGAGGAGTCGCCTCGTGGCCCTGTTCCTCTGGCCTGTGTAGTTTTCGCACCAGACGGCTCTCTGGAGTGGTTCCCCACTCTCTTTCAAAAATAAATCTTTCTCTTCTCTCGCTCCCCCTCTCTCCCTCCCTGCCCATAAACACTTTCCCCTTTGGTACATAGGATGTGTTTGGCTGGGAACCGCTGGCACCTTTGTCAACACGTCGAGGCTCAGAGCTCAGCTGCTTGTTCCAGTAAAACAAACAATGCATTTTCTCTCTCCGCCCCGCGTCTCCCTCCCGGCGAAGCCACGTGCGTTGCTCAAAAGGGCAATTCTCTCATATTTATTATAGATAAATTGGGCAGGAGGGAGGAGAAGGTGGGGGAAATGAATTAATACGAGGCTAAATATTTGCATGGATGGATCGACAGCGCGCAGCCCCTGGGCTTCTGTGCCGAGCAAAAAAAGGGAGGCAGCCGCCGACAGATGCGTCGCGTCGCGGTGGAGAAAGGTGCGGGGGCGGAGGAAGGAGCCGACGAATTTAAATGCCTCTTTTGAATATGCATGAACGTGGCACATCTGGAACTGATGTCGAGGGTCCAGGTTTTTGAGAAGGCATGAATCAAGGCCGTCGGTGTAGTCAGCGAAAAACAAAAACAGTCTTTCCTGGTGTTAAAAGTTCTTCGTAAGAAGCAAGGCGGCGTTAACTGCCCGTTCTGGGTGATTAGGATGGGGGAAATAGCTGGAGTGTTTTTCTGGAGTAGAGTGATTAAAAAAAGGGGGGGGAGAACAGGATTCCTTAATAATAAGGTATGACAAACTTCAAACGGGGAGCGGGGGGAAATCCAAAGAAAAGCCAGGAACATCGGCCTCGATCCCCTCTGGCAACGGCTTTTAAGAGGAAATTCCCATTGCCTAGCTGAATGTTCGGCTTGCTTTTTTTTTTAAAGATCAGACTGTTACGCCAGGATCCTGTGTACTTTAAAAACGTCAGTAAGCCAAGGGCTTTTCTCCTGTGAAACCCGGATCCCAAATATGTTGGGACTGAACTCGGAAGAGAATCGTGGGACTTCCTTGCGTCGCTCCAAACTCTTCTTTGGATTAAGGGCCCCTCGTGTTTTCTGCTGTCACCAAATGAGACTTCCTTTCCCGTCTACATGGAATCGGGATATGAATATGATCCCGATTAATCTAAAATATATATTTGGCGTTATAAGATCAGTGGCTATTTTTAAATCAGGCAAGGGGTTAGAAAAATTCACTAAGGATGATACCAATATTTTGTAAAGATAAACAGGAAACCAGGGGGTATAGGAAATGGGGGGGGGAATGGAATTTCTCCCGGCGGAGTTAACGAAAACAAATCATTAGGATAGCTATAGCCTTAAGAACATATGTAGTTTTATTGGGGAAGTGAGGCGATCGCATCCACAGGATATTTCAGTTATGAAATCGAGGAGAACACAAGCGCAAGGTGTTTGTTTTTACAGAAAGTCAGCCCCGACCAAATTCACTTGGAAATAAGTTGAAGTGGAATTTATTTCCCAGAAAGTCTACAATCATACTTGCTCAGAAAACGTTCCTTTGAAATTGAGGGGACTTCAAAATAACTGGGCTTGTGACCCAGCTGTGCGTTCTGCATATTTTGCAACGTGCAGTTCAACTTATTAATATGCATCAGGCTGTTTTCGTAAAACAGGATCCAACTTTCATTCTTTTTAGCTTCCGAAAGCGGGGGAGTTAAACACATGCTCAGAGGGCAGCAAAAGAAACCAGAGGGATTTAAACACAATTAACTTTGGCTGGATCGCACCCATACTTTGCAACACGTAACTTGCTGTTATTTATACAAGCATTAGATGAAAACAAGGCAGTTTGGGATGTGATGATGATTATTATTTTCCCTTTACCGTCCTGCACATACCCAAGGCACCTCCAGATTCCCCTTCTGCGCATACATATTTTCGTTTGTTTGCAAGGAAGTTCCCTTGATTTCAAGGTGGGCATATCCGGCTAGAGCCGGTAACTTCACCAGCATACACAACATGTGCCGCATTCCTTTATGCCGCGGTTGATGGGATTAAAGCGCGCTCAATTTCGGCTGGATAGTGCTCTGTGTTTGGGAAAGCAATCCAGCCTATGTGTGTGTTGTACACTGAGCCGCTGCTCCCAAATATCCGTGTTTAGGAGAAGGGTGCTAATCACTCTTGGGGTGAGGGAGAGAAGATGCAAAGGCGATGAAGTCACCTTATCATTCCGGCGCACAGTTTTTGGAGACCTTTTATGCGCACCCTCCCTTCCTAATTTCCCCCTTTCGAAAAGGCGGCTCCTTTCGACTGTCCACGCGGAACTTGTGGAAGTATTGGGCCCGTGGGGGGCCCTTGGGGTTCCTCCAAAGATGATTAGCCACGATTTGTCCGCTTCCTCGGTCCCGGCGGGCTTCCTCCGGAGCGTGCTTTGCAGCAGCTCTGTGCAATTACCGTCGCCTCCCTCGCGGGCTTGTGCGATCAGAAGAAGCATATGGTGTTGCTTGTCGGCTGCGAGCAATCAGAGGAGGCAAAGAAGGGCTGATCCTCTGTCCCAGCTTCCCCCTGGCTTGTAAGCCGGCGAATGTCTGGAAAGAGAAAGGAAAGGGGTGGGGGGAGAGGAGAGAGAGCGAAAGTCACCAGGGAATTGAGGTGGTCAAGGGCAAAGCGAGCCAGATCCGCTGCTGGGGTAATGGCCCCCAGCGTCTGCCCCACTCGGAGGCAACGAGAGAAGTTTTGGGGGCTCGGACTTCCTTTATCTCTGTTGTCTCTTTCTCTTTTGCTTCTTTTTCTTGTTTTCTATCTTAGGCAGCTGTGATATTCTTGTATCGTATGGGGAAATCTCAATAAAAATCTTACTGAAAGGTGTTCAGCTCCAGCTACGGATGGCTAAGGTTGGCCTGGATTTTGGCTCCGGTGCTTGCCCGAAGTGGGCTCCCTCCACATTTTTTTTAAAATTTTTTAATTATTAAGGTCGATCTTAAACGTGCTGGGCACCGCGCGACACCCAGGAGCTTCCAAGCCCATTGCAGTCACTAGACAGCAAGCCTAAATCCAGCGATTAGGAAATAAATCCCACCTCAGGCAAGGGGAATTTAACTTCTTCCTGAGCACGCACCCGCTTCTCTCTCCCTCATTCTCTCTCTTTCTCCCCACCCCCACCTCAACCATCCTCTTTATATGGGTGGGCTAAGGTAGGGAAGGGTTATGGGGAAGGCGTCTTATGCGATGGCTTGCGTTTTGGTTAAAATCACTGCATATCTTGATTTTGGGAAAGGGGCGCAGAGAGAATTAGCCTGCAAGAGCTAATTGGGCTTCGGACTCGGCTGAGGGTCTTCCTTACTTCTTCCAAGCACGTTGGTAGGGATCGGGGCCTACAGGCCTGAGCCTAGCCGCCTAGATGAAGCCCCATCGATTTCAGTGGCGCCAAGCAGGGTCTCGGGCACAGCTGCCTTGCGGAATGGTTGTATCCATGTGGAAGGAGTCCCAGGATCTATCTGTGTGTGGTCCGGACTGAGCATGTTCAGGATTGCCACTTGAAGGAAGGCGAGGAAGGAGAACAGCAGTGGGGTGAGGAAAGCGAGCTTTAGAAGCAGACGCAGAAACAAACCAGCGGCGTCCAAACCATTATTGTTACTATGGCAAGGCAGGGATGGGGGAATCAGATCCTAAATGACAACTCCCATCACCTCTGGCTATTGGACGTTGGGCTGATGGGAGCTGGAGTCTAGCAGCCGTTGGAGGGCCACGGGCTCACCGCCCCCCTCCCCCGTTTTATCAAGCCATCTCTTTCCTCTGAAGTACACGTGGCACCATCAAGAACCCATCAACTGTGCTGGGCCTCTGACCTAAAGCGGCCTGGCAAACTTAGCCCGGCTGAACAACGTAGGACTAGATTCCCCAGGTCTAAGGGCGCTCTCTCTCCCTCTCCCAGTACGTCTTGGGATCGAAGCCTTAGCACATCAAAGGCCAGCAGGTTCACTTAAAAGCGGAGCTACTGCTGGTTTCTGGATTTTGACTTGTTTTTCTTGGCTGGTTCTTGAAGACAGGCAAATACATCGCCTCTCTCCCGAATTTTTCACAGGGCCTAAAATGCTCAGCGGAATAGGGTGGGATTTGCTTAGGATCCGGGTCTGGGCGTGTTGTGAGAATGGACGCGCCGTGGCACGCAATCGCAGACAGTAGTAGGTGATTAATTTATTTTTGCACCAATTCTCTTTTTGGGGGGTGGGGGTGGGAATGACGCTTTCTGCCTTTTCCTGAGCTCTCCAGATGTTGCGTTAAGGCAAGGAAGGGAAATGCCAGACCTCGCTAAACCTACCGCATCTCTCTCCTTCCGAGTCCCCAGAGATCTTAAGTGAATTCGTATTCACGCCGGTTTGGAGGGCAAAGGTCAAATTCAGGACTCCGTTTCGCCTTCCTGTGTTTATGAACGAGCTCTGGCCTTGATCCTTTTACAAATAAATGGGAGAGGGGGGACATCCCTCCTCCTCTTCTCATCCCCTCCTCTCCTCCAAGGACAAAAGCACATTTAAAGGTGAGAAGCCGGCTAACTTCCTCCCCAGAAACAAGCAGTGACGGAGCGAGTGACGGAGCCAAACGAGAGAATGACGCCATGGCGAAGCCTTGCTAGGCTTTCTACGTCAGCGCCCAGTTCGGGGACCGTCTGTTAGGGATCGAAGGACTCTTGGCTGAGCCAAATCAGGCCAAGTAGCTGAACGACAGAACCATTTTTAAAGGAACCCTGCTGTAAGGGTTGCATTATTCGCAGAATGAAATGCTGCAGAAGACCATCAAGCCTGTCTTGCTTCCATGCCCCATCTGTTGTAGAGAGCTGTTGTTGCGGTTGTTGTTTCCCCAAACATTACTAAAGTTTGGTAAAATATTTTAAGGAGAGAAACACAGCTCAGCGATTTTGGAGCATGCCACGCGTCTTTTCGTCTCTCTTGTCTAAAATATTTCCTAAGCAGCGTTTGCATTCAGATGCTTGAGGGCCACCAGTTATTACGTAGCTGTTGCTTTACACCTGTGCAAGATTAGATCGAAGGGCCCAGGTCCTCCAGATAGGGAAGGGTTTATAAACCATAGCGGATAGATTTCTAGAAACGTTTTAACCGATGCCCAAACCAGGGAGTGGTCTTCGTTGCTTTAAACACGGGGGGATGAGGTGTCTTCAGAAGCAAGTTCCACTGAAGCCATGGGGGCTGTCCCTCAGTGAAGTTTTGGTAATTTAAATAGGATATTAACTATAGACCCGATTAAATTGGTTTGTGGAAAGCATGAAATAGCTGCCCAAGTACATAAAACGGCTATTTTGACTGGCGAGTCCGAGGGGCAGGTAGACAGAGGGGTCGAGAGGAGGGTTCACGCAGGCAACGCCGAGAGGTCTGCGGAACGAATATTAGAGCTAACCTTGAAACACAAAGTGCGGGTTTTCGCCTGCCGGTTGGTTGCGATGGAAAGGTTCGTTGGTTGTCGGTATTTTTGTGTGTGCGCGCTTGATATTTCTCTCGCTTATTTCGTAATTATTTTTTTTATGTTCCAGTAGGAGTCTTGCTTAAAAATTGCAACTGAAACTGTGAGGCGTTTGATTCGTTTTTCCCTTCACCTGTCTTTTAAGAGGAGAGAACTCAGGTACATGGGAACAAAAATTAAAAAAATAAAAAAATTCCTTCCAATAGCACCTTAGAGACCAACTAAGTTATTGGTATAAGCTTTCGTGTGCATGCACACTTCTTCAGATACGAACGAAAGCTGTTTAGGTGTGCGGAATGGGCGGGTGTGGACTGGACGGAGCTGGATTGCATCGTTCTCTGAAAAGGGCTACAAGAATTAGACCTCTAGGAAGGAGAATAGCGGTCCAAAAGTCCAGAGTTTTTGCCTCCAAGTATTCATTTCTTCTCTAGAACAATCGTTTGTTGCTGTTGTTTTCAAAAAGAGCTGTAAGGTTAACGACAGCAAGAGTGAGATAGGCAATCCTTCCCGCAGGCCTTAAATCGAAAAAGGGCTTGCTACCTTCGTTGCTGTACTTCCTTTGCGGTGTTTCAAAAGTAAAAGTGCAAGTTAAAACAGGAACAACGCGTGGAGGGAATTTCCGCGCGGTTCTCACGACGATTATAATTATGAAAATGTTCATTGATTTCAACTCACCCGGTGTTCTCCTATTTTTCCGATTGTTTGAGATATATATGTGGGGTTTGTGTGTTTGTGTGTGTGTGTGCATTGTGCGTGCGTGGGTGTATCTATGTGTACGTTATGCACTACGTGACCAGAAACACACACACACCCTCCTTCTGAAATCATCCCATCTCCATTGGGGTGGGCCGACTGGCGGATTAAACAGGCGCTTGACATCATTTTTTGATAGTAAAAATAAGGAAATGCGAGGATTTTGAAAACATATATACTGTCAATCTATCACTAGTTGGATTCTGGACGCTGCGATCAGGCGGCAATCCTATATCCACTTACCAAGCAGTAAGCCCCATTAAACTGAATGGGACATGCGTTTTGAACAGGCACCGGCAGCTTCTTGCCGCTCCGCTTAAAGGTACCCCTGCCCATACGGGCCAGTCGTGTCCGACTCTGGGGTTGCGCGCCCATCTCACTCAAGAGGCCGGGGGCCAGCGCTGTCCGGAGACACTTCCGGGTCACGTGGCCAGGGTGACATCGCTGCTCTGGCGAGCCAGAGCCGCACACGAAAACGCCGTTTACCTTCCCGCTAGTAAGCGGTCCCTATTTATCTACTTGCACCCGGGGGTGCTTTCGAACTGCTAGGTTGGCAGGCGCTGGGACCGAGCAACGGGCGCGCACCCCGCCGCGGGGATTCGAACCGCCGACCTTTCGATCGGCAAGCCCTAGGCGCTGAGGCTTTTACCCACAGCACCACCCGCGTCCCCCGCCGCTCAGCTTAGGGTTACTCAAAATCGCTTAGCAATGCAGCTCGACAGTTCTACACTCCATAATTTTGCAGCTACTATTTTGTTAAATAAATAAATGCGTTTAGCGTTTCAGTATTGAAATCCATTGCCTTGTTTTAGTTGGGAGGCGGTATTTAAAACAAAAACAACAAAGGGGAGAAAAGGAAGAAAAAACAACAACCCCCTTTCCCACGTGGATCGGTGATTTAATGCTGTTTTTCTTGCTGCTGAGGGAAATGATTGAGCATTGGGTTTCAGTGTTTATTTTCTTACAGACGTTTTTCTCATTTAAAAGCCTTTAAGCTGCCTCCCTTTGTTTGATTCCAGTTTTGATGTGGACTTGAAATGTGAAGTGCAGAACGAAAGCCCCGGCATAACTGCTCCAAAAGCAGATTTATGGCTGAGAAAAGCAGAGGTCAGGCTGATTGGCAAAAACCGTAATTTCTTCGCGGAAAGCCGCCTCGATCGCCAGAATAAAAAAATGATGATGGTGGTGGTGGTAATGGTATTAATTAATAAGATGTTTGCAGATATTTTCATCAGTCGTGAGGTTAGTAGGTGGTGAAATAATTCATCCTCACCCCCCTTCCCCAAGGATTTCAGGACGAAATGTTAATTCCCCCCCCCCCCCTCTGTTGTTATGGTTAGCATGGAAAACGGAATCGTTTTATGGGTCTGATTAACAGAGCAATACTATAGAGTTTAATGGGACTTTTCCCCAGGTAAGTGAGCATATGATTCATCTATTTTCATTTGTCTATTTTCCTGGTAAAATACGATTCTGCTTGCCAAGGCTGAATGAATCCATATCTGTTCTGCTTCCTAACGATTTTCTTTTTAAAAAACTTATGGCAGTGGGGTTTGTGTGGATAAAACATTTTACACATATACCGTTGATTGATATTATTTAAATCACAGCATATTAAACCACCGGATTCCACTTATTATTAAAGACAAACAGCACTTTGTTTCTGCGTACATTTTTATATGCATGTAAACAGAGCTGATTTGTGCTTTTTAATGGGCAGGGTCGTAAATTTTGTAGAGGTCGCTAGCAACTGATGGTTCTGTAAGGCCGAATCTGAGCCGATCCAGCGTAAAGTTAGTTAACAAATATCGTGAACTGGATACCTAAATATGGCAGAACCCGGGTCTGTCGAAGTGAAAAGTCAGCCTCCTCGGTGTGGGGCTTTGGTTCTTGTTCTCAGTAATCAGAGCACACACACCCCTCCCACACACACCATCCTAAATAAATACACGGAAACGAGGAAATTTGAGGTCCCTTGAAACGATCGCGTAAAAGGACTGACAGTCCAAGTCCCCTTTCCTCTGCTTGTGTGCGAGCCATTTACAGCTCAGTCCTATGCACATCTACTCAGCCGTAAATCCCAATGAGACTTACTCTCCGCCCGGGTAAATGTGTACAGGACTGCGGCATTCCTCAATAATCCCAGTTTCCCCAATAATCCGGCCGGTGGTGTCGGAGGCATGCCTGATTTTGTCGAGGTTGCTCCAGCCCCTAGGATTCGAATACTCGAATTTGTGTGTTTCAATTCAACCCAGTTCGAAGTCAAGCGCTTCGCTTTCCTGCCTTCTTTTTGGGGAGGGGAGAGGACACTGGATAATATCGCTGGGTAGAATTAGTATTAATCCTCGAAGCCTTAAAATAAGCGAGAAAGTGGTGAAGTGTCTGCTGAGGGGGTTTAAAAGGTGCTCATTTTCTAAGCTGCAGGCTGAAATGGCCGCCTGATGACCAGGGTCTCCTCGACAAACCAAGAGACTGAAGGGCCGCCACGTGGTGAGGGAAATGGGTTGGGTCAAAGACTGCGCATGCCTCTGCCAAGCCTGGGATGTGGCAAACTCCACTCAGTCCTTCCTCGTCTGGAGCCTTCAGGGAGACTGAGCCGAATCTGAGTAAGCAGATGCGCCACAGTTGTCCTTCCTGCTCTCCTCTGAGTCCAGAGCGGAGGAGAGACAGATTAATACGTATTATGAATTTTAATGTGAGCATTAATAAGCAAAATAGTCAATCAGCAAACTTCCGAGAAGCGCAGAATGCATTCTCAGAAGACCTCTGCCTCACGTGGGACCTTGGCGGTACCTTGGCTCCATATCTATACGGCTCCAGACTCTATATCGACAGTCTTAGACGGGAATTTAGCTGGGTGTAAGTCTCACGGAACTGAACTCAAAGTTCTGAGCAGGCATGTATAGGACTGCACAGTTTAAACGCAAACTTGTGTGTTTCAGGGCAGACTTGGTGGGCGGGGTGGGGATGATCGAGATAAAAACAACCACCACCCTGGATTTGGACCAGGTTTTCTTTTGGTGAACTGTCTCCAAGCGAGGGACACACTCCTGTAAGGAATCTCAACAGTCAACCCGAGAGCGCTGACCTCAGAGAAAAAAGCGAGGGGGAAAACCCTTCCCAGAGACTGGGATTGAAAGTGATACAGTCGGCCAAATGTCTGTAAAACTGCCTGCCTGCTCCTTGGAGAAATCCAATGTGGTTCATGGGACTTTTAGCTTTAGCTGCAGTTCTGACTGAAGTTGCTTTAGCTTGGGAGAAACTCAGTGGGATTTAACTTCCGAGTAGGGCTTGTTCCTGCTTTCTGTCTCTCGTGAACCCGGATCGATGAATTTGGAAGCGCCTTGGCAACCTGAACCAGAAAGTGCCGCGCATGCCAGCCGTGAATCTCCTGTTGCTGTCGAGAGTAAAAGCAGATCAGGCCATCTGGAAAGATGGCATTATTTAAGCACTTTTATTTAAGCACTCAGTAGAAGGGAGGGAGGGAGACGGGGGAGAGGAGAGAGAGAGGGGGGGAAACCTTCCGTAACTCCTTTCTCATCAACAACAATCCAATTAAGAAGCAATACTTGGGTTTAGGTCAAGGTGGGCTGCACGCGCATTCCCTCCGTCTCCTGCGAGCCTGGTTTGTAGCACAAGGGCCGTGGCTCAGCGGTAGAGCAGAGAAGAGGCGCTCTTAGGGGGCCTTGGCTAGACTAGAGGTCGGAGGGGGCCAAGACAGGTGGTTGCTTCAGTCCAGCTTTTGAGGGACCAGGACAGACACGGAGAGTGGCTCTCAAGTATACGACTGTTGCTGGAGAATTGGAAGGACAGAGTGACCACGGCCGCGCGATCCGCAACCCGCTGAGGTTCAGCCCGAGCCTCTTCGGCTAAAAAGAACGTGACAAGCTTTTCTTCTGTAGATTAGGAAAAACCCACGGCGGGCTGACTACCTGAGAAGGTATCGAGATGTCTACTGCAGCCACTTCCTTTGGTCCAGGGCTGAACTATGTCCACATTCAAGAGCAGATCGTGCTGCAGCGTGTTTGCTGAGCGAAACTCATTCTGATATACGTATAACGTTGGGTGCTGGTTGCATCTCCTGAAGTAGCTGTACCACTTCAGGCTGCTCACCTGATGGAATGCTCCCCCGTCTCTCTAAACCAGGGGTGACGAGCCTTTTGTCCTCCTCCAGATGCGGCTGAACTAGAACTCCCATCACATCTGGCCGTTGGCCGGGCTTGTTCTGGATGATGGGAGTTGTAGTTCATCAACACCCTAGTGGGCCAAATATTCCCCACACCTGCTCTAAATAAAACACCTGTATATAGATGGAGATTGTGTCAGGGAGAACCATTCCCCTTGGCACTTACTTTTAGGGTAATTTTATTATTGTGCGTTATTTATTTATGGTTTTGTTTGTGGCATTTATATTCCATCTTTTCCTTCACCGAGCTAGCGGTGCAAATAATTCTCCCCTCTTCATTTTATCCTCACAACAACGCTGTGGGTGGGGTAGGTCACGCTGAGAGGCAGTGACTGGTTCAAGACCAGCTTGTGAGCTTCGTAGCCAACTGAGGATTTGAACCCAGGACTCCCAGATCCTAGACTTGGGCACAGCCCTTAGTGCAAACTCGGCCCAAGAGTGAAATAAGTCGAAAGGTGCAGTAGATCTACCAAGGCAAGTTCCATGTATTCTGCCTTAATTAGTTTGATGACAGCATTTTTTCAAAGAATGTGTTTGTCGGATAATTGTCCTTGAATTAACAAACCGAAGGTCCTAACTGTGGCTCCGAAGCCCATGGTCTCATCCCTGCCTCCCTGCTTCCCACCGAACCTGCTACATACTAAATAAACGCGGCCGCAGGATTCTGCTCATCTCAGCCGAAGCCCTGCCTTTCCGGTCTTGCGTTCCTCATTGTTTATTTCAAATTGTAAACTCCGTGGAGGCAGGGACCTGTCCATTTTTATTTTATTTTTTTGCTTATCGGTATGTAAAGAGCCCTGCACTGTAGCAATGGTAACAACATTTTTTCTCAGGTCTGTAGGACGAAATTATGCGTGATCTAGAAAGGTGCCGGAAATGGAGGTTTGCAGGAAGCCAACGCTGCAATTTCCAAGGGCAGCGAACTACTCTAGATAAGAAAGGTGGATGGAAAGATCACTGCACAGTCGGGTGGTATGAAGGGAAATGAGGTTATTCCCCGCGGTCTAATAATAAATAAAGGTTAGATTCTGGCTAGGTATAATGCAGAGCGTTGACACACAGGTAGTGTACTGTGAATTCTTGGGGACACGCAGCTCTTAGGCTCTCGGCTGAAATATGAGGACTGTGGTACTGGCCTGCCTTGCGGTTTTGTTGTAAAAATGTGTACGGGACGCGCTTTGAATACATACAAAAACACTACAGTATTAGACATGTTCAATATTAGCCTGATCCTTCAATAACCCTTTAAAAGGCCACTAGATATAGAAACAACCCAAAGTAGAAAATCACATTTGAAAATCGGAATATTTGGGGGGGGGGGGTTGGGATCCTGAAAAAATGACGTTCAGAGCAATCCTTGACATGTTTACTCAGATATATAAGCCCACCCCCCAGCGTTCTATGGGCTTTTCTTCCAGAAAAGCATGCATAGGATCGCAGCCTATCGGTGCTGCTGTATGCTTACGAGGAAGTTGGTCTCCCTGAGGCCATTAGTTCTTCCTCGCAGGGTTTCAGCGCAGGTTTGTCCGAGCTGGTTTGCCCTCCGCTCCTCCGCTCCTAATTTGAAAGAGGCGTTTGGGGACCCAAACCCTTCTCTCCAGGTTTCCGAATGCGCCTAACATGCGTCCGACCACCACATCTTTTTCGAATGACCCACCTGGGAGGGTGAAGCGCAGCGACAGAGTGGAGCTTCTCCCTGTCCCCCTTCCCAACATTTCTGAATGGAGCCACTAACCCACCTTTCCGAAGTACTGGGTTCAGTGAGACTTGCTTCCCCTTCCAACCAGTGGGTTAAGGACCCCGCCTAAACCAGTTTTTTAATCTGGCAGTGGGTGGCATTTGGAGTTTTGAATGCACCAGCAAAAGCTGAACTGAACACCGAGTCCCGTTTGGAGAAGCGCACTTTACCTTGAGATGCGGGCTCAGAGAGACGCCGAATTGGGAAAGTAATAAAGCTACATTTGGTAAAGGAAGTTTGATGGGAACGTTCATCGCTCTAATCTGAGGTGGCGATGCACAAAGAGCCATGCTTGCTCTTTGTTCTCAGCGGGAGAGGCCTACAAAGATGTCTCCTCTCCCAAGCTGAGGATGAAGGAGCAGGAAATTAGGTCAGCAACGCTAAGAGTTTCCCTCCAGCAGCTGAAGGAATGTCAGCACAGGTCGAAGGACAGTCTAGGATGCTTGCAGATTCTTCTATCTACTCTACTCTTTCCCATGCAAAGCCAACAACCTATAGGCAAGCTGTGTTGCATCTCAATACTTTCTGCAGTAGCTGGGCTTAACAGGGTTGTGGGTGGGGTTTTAAGTTGCAGCTTTCTATATGTTATTACTTGGGAGTAGACTTCAACTGAAATCTGTAGAGCTAATTTCTGAATTTCTGACCGCAGTCATTATGGCCACTTACCTGGGAACAAGACCCATTTTGTCTACTTTGGGACGAATTGCCTTGGAATAAGAAGTGTGGAGGTGGTGGTGAAATGATGAGCCAATTCAAATTTCACCACAGCTGCTGACTGGGTAGGTGGCCTTTGTTAGGCTTTTTAGGGCACTGGATGCATAGCAAATAGAACAATCTGTTCTGGATGACTACAAAAGGAAAGCAGATTTTGTGGTTGATTCCTGAAATCCAGATCAGAATCCCTCAGGATAGGTGGGAAACTGTGGAACAGAGGCAGATAAAATCCAGATCACAATATTTGTTAACCTTAGCATTGCACACTGACAATAATTCTAGGTTGGCTTGGTGTGGGGCAAGTAAGATTCTCCCAGATACTAAGAAGAATTCCTCTAGTATGAATAAGACTAAAAGCTTGTTTTGCTTCTTATATCCCTCCTGCTGTGGGGCAGAGGCTGTAGTAGGCAACACAAACCATTTCATAATAAAATAATAAAAATAAACAATGCTATCAGCTATTATTACTGGAAAACACTGCAGTGAGAAACATGGGCAATGCCGCTACTACAAGGACACTAATGTTGTGGCAGATTTTTAGTAATTTTTAGTAGCAGTACAGCAATGGTCTACAGCTTCCCCTGTACCTGCAAAGGTGTTTTCCCAGCTTTTAATGTTACTATTTCTATTGTAGCGGTTTCCTCATAGATTTACCTGCTGCATGGAACTGCATTCTTGAAGTTGCAAACACAGGAGAAAACGTTTTCTGGGTGTTAGTGATTCATTATAATAGAAGTAAATGTAATAATATTGGGAAGCCTTTTATATTCAGTTTGTGACTTTAATAATAGACATGTGGTTATTTTTGTTTGCTAAAACCAAAATGATACAGACATTGGAAAAAAATAACAATAATCTTATATGGTGTTTTTTTAAAAAAACAACAACACCAGGTTTAAGTTCTTTGTTAAATGAACTCTTTCCCATTATTTATTTGTAACTGGTGGAATCCCGCTGGGTGAGTGAGAAGAGGCGAGCCCAAACACTTGGCCTTGATTAGAGATGTCCTCTCTTTTCTCCCTCAGCTAGGGCTGGCTTTCCCTAGAACTGTGTTTGGTCTTCCACTGTCATACTGTAAGCACACGAATCCGAGTGAGGAATCTTAGATCGGGTGGGTGGCGGGGGCGAAGGAGAGAAACCAGTCGGACTAGAAGAGATCCATTCTCCGGAGGCCCCTTTTAGTTCTGCACACCTTGCCTGCAGCGCGCACCTTGTCTACTTTGAAAAGATTTCCTCTTGTCTTTTTATTCTCGGCAGAGGCTGCTTCCAAATGTAGTTTCTCTGCCTTCAGTGCAACAGCTCGAGCAGTAGGCAGGTTGCAAGAAACCCGAGTTCTGAATATTAATAGCCGCGCGTAGGTGAGCGACTTGGGAAGAGGAGAGAGGGAAGGGAATGAGAAAGAGAGAGAGAGAGAGAGAGAGAGACTTTCTTAGTTTGCGTTGCACAAACCAGCACAATGGTGTGTGCTTTATCGAACAGGTTTCTGTCGGTTAGCTTCACCCGGACCAAACGCAAAAAAAGAAAAAAAGAAAATAAGGCGACGCATCTCCACGCAAGCCCTCTCTAGTAGCCCACACTTTTGTGCAAGATTGTGCCATTGGAAGTGGAGAGCGCCTAGGATGGCAGCTCAGAGGCATTCTTAATCCGGATCGAAATTCAGTCTCGAGGGTTCAGAGATCAGAAGACGACCCTCGGGCCAGAGGAGAAGTGGTTCAAAAAACGCCATCCTCCTGCCCCACTCCGCACGGCTCTCCCCCAAGCGCGATCGATGCTCGTCGTCCGGCCAGCCATGCCGGCAGCTGCCTGGTCGCCTCTGGAGGGGGCAGGAGGGGTGGCTGTTCGCCGTCCTCCCGCCTGCCTAGTCAACGGTGCCTGTGGGATTAGGTCAATTGGTGTGGATCTCCTCCGCCTCATTTGGTTACTAATTGGTTTCTTGTTTTAGAAATCGAAATCTCATTTCCAGAAATCACAAAGCCTCGGTAGGCAGGCCGTGAAGGTAATCCGGGGGTGGGATGATGGGAAAGATGCAGGCGAGCAGGGGGCGGGGGGGGGGGAGGCGTCTGCCTTCAAACAGAATCGCGAGGAAAGCAGCAGTGGAACTTCGCCCGGCTTTTCAAGCGAAATGTGAGCTCGTTAGAGCCATAATAGATACATCCCACCCACTTCTTAAGGCTACTTATGTAAATATGATAAACCAGGCTTGGCGAAGCGCGGAACGGAGACCCCCCCTTTTTTTTTTACCTAGGAAGGTTAATGTAGCGTAGCTTGGAAATCTTCCAAAATAGATTATGTTTTCCCTTTTTATCTTCCACCACTTTAGCCGGGAAAATCCCCCCTTCAGATTCCAAGCTCCTTCTTCATCTCTTCCAATTCTCGCTCCTTCTTCTTCTTCCTCTGCTTCAGCGAGGCTCTCCAAATTGCAAGAAGAAACCTTTACATCTCCTGACCAACCTAATCCCAAAGGCAAAGAGAGAGGGGGAGAGGATCTGGGTTTCTCACTTTTTAAAAAGACGAAGAAAATGCAATCAGACTACAGTATTTGAAGGGGTGGGGATTGGCTGCGGTAGGTCAAGTGCACCCCAAGCAACTTTACTCAACGTTAAAATCGGGGGGGGGGGGGGAGATACTTTAAAAATAAAAGATACCGAACTATAATGTATCTGAAGCTGCCGTTTTCCAGTACCCCCTTTTAACTCAGCGTGTCTTAACGCGCAATAAATGCAAGCGGAAGACTTAGTTGAAACGTTTCGAATTAAGTCCAAGCTTGACTCCAAAGGAACTGTCATTACGATAAATATTTTAGGATCCGTGGGTTAAAATGTTGTTCACTTCAGAGGAAGAGAGGGGTGCAGGGTAGGGGGGAAACTAAACTGACAAGGGCTTGCTTCTGAGTAGTCGCGATTAGGATTGCGCCGCAACTTCCGGGTGAACATCTCCGGCCACAAGATTGTGATCCAAACGCATTTAGGGGGCAAGCCTATCCACTCTCTCCTTGGCCTCTGTCTCCTTTGATTTTGTGGGATTCACTTCTGAGCAGACGCTCGTAGGATCCCCATGTTCCTGTAGCGCTATAAGTGCTATTGAATCAATGGGGCGTTTTAGACCGGAGCAACTAGGGGAGATCAGTCAGTTTGAGATGTCAGTGTTACTCAGCTTGAGTCGCAGTGCAAGTCTATCACCACCCGTCAATTAAATTTGTTGGTCACCTCTTTCCCAAGGTAACTCAAAGTGACTTACACTACACTGGCAACTAAGTCTCCTTGAGCTCAGTGGGGCTTCTTCTCTCAATAAGCGGATAAAACAGCAGCCTCGACGCCCTCCACCTCCCCTGGCTTGTGGATTGAAAAAGCTGAAAGTCGCCCACCCACCACCGCGGCGAGGTTTTAAGGAATCCCAGAGACCAAAGGATTGGAGAATGGTCAGATGGCGGCCAGTCATTCATGGGAAAGGATGGAGACATCTGGCCAGTAGAAGGCTCTCGCTCCCTGCCCCCCTCCTAAATCTCACGTGGCTCAGTTTGGAAGAGAAGTGCTCGGAAGGGCGAGCAAAGCGCTTGTTTAGAAAATATTAACTTGGCTCGGCTGGAGGGAGGAGTTCACCCGGAACAGGAGCAAAAGAGCTGCAGAGCAGGGCGGGGAGGCGGGAGAGAATAGAATTGCGGATTCTGCCCAAAAGTTAACCTGTAATGCAGGCAGACTATTCATTAACCCGCCGGGGCAGGATCTGCTGCTCCACTTTTAGTAGCCTAAGAGAAATAGGAGGGCCCCCCCTCTCTCTCCCCCCCTTTTGCATTCGGATTAATCAGCAACTGGGAAAAGCGCAGAGATTCGAATGGGAACGTCTGGATCGCCCAGAGAGGGTCTCGTGAGTCGACAGGTGTGTCTGTGTGTATGCCCACAGACAGCGTTACTCTCGTTGCTTGTTTAAATCCAGACCTCCTTAATACGTTTCTGTAGATCTGCACATCCAGGCAGCTCCCCTCCCCTCAAAAAACCCACGTCTTTACGTCTTTCTTCTTAATTCCGCTAATAAACACATCAAAACGAAAGGAACCCGTGAATGTCTGAGACCTTCCCGCTTCCCTCGGCCACTCAGGCTTCAGTACTTTCAGTTTCCCGAAGAAGAGAAAAGAACCCGACAGGAGTTGGTTGTTGTTGTTGTTTTAAAAAGCACACGATCCAATACTCATTTAAGCAGGCAGCTACGTCTATCTGAATATAGCTGGGTAGCCACGCCCTTTCGTTTAATCGTGGCGCTGAGGGAGCGCATAAACTCTCGAGGCTCCTTCATAGAAAGTCAAACCTCGACGGACGAGCCTTTTTTTTTTAAACCAACCAACAACTTAGGCACACAGGGGGCTTGAGCTACAGGGGACTCCCTTCTAAAGGAAGCAAACACGCACGGATTTGGACTTCCAGGCTGAAACCCTCAGGAGGGAGTGCCGCTGAATCCAAGAACAGGCATTTCCAAATGCGCATCAATCCAGTAACTCTAGGCGCCCCGGGATTCAGGAAGCTTCCTTGAGCCACGCTGAACTTTACTTCCGAGCAAGGATCAGCCTGGAGCCTTCCCTGACAGCCACTTCCGTCGTCGCTCCCACTCCCCCAAGAACGATTCCCACGTGTGGGCGGCCAGGTGGGATTTAGGAAGGAGTGTTCTCTGAAATCCGCTAGGATCTCGCCCTCCCAATATTTGGTGTTGGCAAAGCGGGCGTGTGTGTGTGTAGCGCCCGGCTCCTATACATTTAAAAGTTGTGCAGAAGACAAGAGCGGGAGGGCTTGGTAAATCACGCACCTGCTAGCCTTTCCGCTTCTGAGCCACTACGAAAGGTTCAGGCGTCCTGCCTTCTTGCGCACCTGGGCCACCTGCGCAAGATCCCCTGCCATTAGGCGTGTCCCAACAGACAGGAAGTCGGGAGACAGAAGAGCTGGACACGTACGGAATTACGGAATTCAAGAAGACCTGCGCAGAGGGGCCGATGCCCCTGTGCGCGTTCACTATTAGAGGAATCGGAGGACGCAATTAGCATGCAGAAAGTTCAGTTAGGTCGTTTTAGACTCTGGAATTAGTGCTCCCCCCTAAAGATTTACTTCATAATAGTTCCAGCTTTGCTCATATCAAATGTGGTGAGCCAACCAGGCTCAGTTTTGGGAATCCTCCTGCTCATCTCGCTCTGTGGGGCCCCGGACTTCCGCCGGAAAGTCTGATGAAGAATCCGGGTTCACACTCTGGAAGCTTCAGGTTTTATTTATCGGTACCATTTCTTACCTGCCCGTCACCTGGAGGTCCCAAGGCTGGGTACAGCAAGAGAAAACACAGTGTTAAAACCAAATAAAACCATCACAATACTATAACAGAACGGTTCCAAAAGGAACCGCTGGAAACACTGCTGTAAAGATGTAGGCAGTCGATGCCGGTCCTTATGGACCATATAGAGCTGGAAAGACCTGTGCTAGAAACAGAGGTGCCAACCTGAATAAAATATTGGGGGGAGGGGGAGGTAAGCCCCGCCCCACGTAATCACAAGACGCGGCACACGCACACTGCCCATCAACTTGCGGGAGGAGGCTGCCCCCTCAAATATTTTATTGGCGGGGGGGCGAAGGGACCTAAATTCCTAGGGTCTGGCTCCTGTGGCTAGAAGTTTCATGTCATGGTTGCTATTACAATAGAAGAGGCAGCCTATATATGCTACAGGTTAACTCCTGCGAGGACTCGCCTGTCCTGTTCCATTTGGCGAGTCCAAGGCTAGGCCGGCGAGGAGGCCAAGTGGATTCCGGGAAAATCTGAACGGGGTGGCTCCAGGTCCGCTTTCCCCTTCGTTGGCACGGTCCTCGGACTTTTTGGCAAAGTGAAATACGACTTCGATTGCTCTCGGGCTTAGCTTTGAATAATCGCTGGGCTCTAGGGACTTCGGCTGTATCCCACTTACTTGGGAGTCAATTCCATTTAATTCGATTGGGCTTGCTTTTGAGTAAACATGACAAGAGCTGACTGATCCCAGTTGGGGGACCGTGTGTGTGAGAGAGTGAGAGAGAGAGTGAAAGCAAAAAGAACCTATAAAGGCCAAACGACTTGATTTCCACGGCTCAGGTTTTTAGGCGGCTTACCCCGCTGACCTTGAACATCTGGATGTATGGTCCGCTGACGTGTGTATATGTGCATGTGTAAATCACAGGCGTGTAAATTATAGATCTAAGGTGTAAATCCAACGCACACTTTCCTGGGAACTGAGTCCCATTTGGATACAGTGGGACTGACTCAGGAGTCAACGTGGATAGGGTTGTGCTGTGCACGTCTACCTGGGAGTAATCTTCACAGAGGAATTGCTCTGAATGTGCAGCCAATCGGCTTAGATTCAAGCGCTCTTTGGTTTAACCGAGTTGTAGACAGGTCTGAGTCCGGAGCGGATCCTCTCCAGTGTTTTACAGCACCACTGCTAAAGCACTGAACGTATAAATTGCCATCTTATGTGAGCGCCTGCCACAATTGTTAGCTAGCTCAGCTTATGCCCTCGCGTTTCCTCAGGCTCGGTCGCTTTCACGAGTTTTCACGTGCTTGTGAACGCGAGTGAGTCCCTGGAAACGCGTGGGAGGCTCTCTGGCAGAAGAGTGGGCCGGAGGGGGGAGGCGAAGAAAGGGGAAGGGCGAAGGCTTGCGCGAAGAAGGCCCGGTGTTTGCGTAGCGCGGGCGCGATCGTTAGCGAGATTTAGCTGCATCAACAACAAGAGGCGGCTCTTGGGCCGCTTGCTTTCCATTCTAAGCCCACTTAGGGGGTGTAATGGGATGAGGCGGCATCGAGGGCACTTGCAAGGAAACGTGCGTTGGAATCCAGGCGCGAGAGAATCTGAATGAGCAGCAGAGGAGGCGTGTCCGGGGTTGTATGCGATCCACAACCCAGCTGAGCCACCACGCCCTTGGACCCCTCCCCTCCCCCCTTTGATACCCGCATCTCTCAGTAATTCCAGTGGCACTTCGAGCTCAGGTGTGTCTTAGTTTAGCAAAGCACCCCGGATCCACAGCGCACAGGTTCTGCTTGCGGTTGTTGATGATTGTGACCACTAGTTGGTTTGGCATAAACTGTTCTTGGCACCGCGGGTCCAATCCAATGGTTTCAATTTAAACCGGGAGCTGTAGGCGTTTCAGAAGTATTGTCAGAAAAAGACAACAAGGTGGAGGGAGGGGAGATAATGAGGAATGCCAGAAACAAGGGCTTTGCAGACAAAGAAAAAAACCGCGATTTCACACACACATTCATGTCCTTTCCTACACGCGGGCGACGTTTAAGCGTTGTTCCAGGAGGCTTTTCGGATCATCTGCCTGGTTCTACCACCGCTTGAGGCGGAGGCCGGTCTCCTTCCCACTAGAGGGAACAGTTCCCGACACAGGGGGACTGGAAGAGACCATTGGGGGGAGGAAAAGTGGGGTCGAGGTGGTGGAATTAATTCACGAGGAGACGCTCTTAGACGTCATGCAGCCCCACGGTTTTAATTGGGATTTGTAAGTCGATCCCATGACTTTCCCTCCGAATAACGTTCCTTCCAGAGACACGACTAAAGCCCAGAGAAGAGGGGAAATTTCAAGGCTTCCTTCGTGGCTGGGGAGCAGCCCTTCGCCTCCCAAATAAAATTTTCTCCATTTGAAATCTGCAAAAAAGACGCGACGAAGTTATTAACTATAATAACCGCTTTTGCTTTTATTCTTTTATTTTATTCGGAGAGCTGAATGGCCACACGACGGTTTGTGTGTTTACAGGAGCTGGCTGCTTGTTCACACCCAGTTTGATGTTTTTTAAACATTGAACAGAATAGTTGTGGCTAAGCTGAGCACCCGCGTTATGTTCGTTTCCACGACATTTCTCTCTTTCCAGGGCCCTCCAAAGGGAATGGGTTTAGTTGTTCCCCACATTTCTGGCAGAAAAACTAGTTTCTGGGTACCAGAAATTGGTTCGTTGTGTGTGAAACGGATGTGTGAATATGGGAAGATTTTTTTCCAGAGAGCCAGTTGGTAGGATTTCAATGATTCGAGAAGCAAAAGCATTCTAGGCCACGAGTCAGAGCAAAGGTTGTTCTATTTAATCCAGAAAAACATAAACCCGCATTTATTTCAATCGAATTATCATTCAAGAAAGTGGTTTCTGGTTGGAACGTCTGAAGTCCAGTCAATGGAAGCGCAACTGAGCTGTAAAGTAGAGGGGGGGGGGGAAAGATCTTTATAGTTTCATTATTCGTGACCCCTCCCCATCTCCCCTTGTACTCTCAGGTAGAAACCACAGAATAATTATTCTTGTTTAATTAATATATACCGCTCATTGCCAGATCAGGCATTAGGACCCTGGTGCCCTGCCTCTCTTTTATTATTACTATTATTTTATAAATTTGTATACCGCCCTTCATCCGAAGATCTCGAATAACGCTGCGATGTCTCCACAGGACTTGGAGAAGCCTGGGGACACGCGAGTCGAACCAGCCCTCTGGACAACGTTGGGCGCGAGCTGGGATCTCACCTTTTGCAGGTACTAGTCCGGAATGCAGCTCCTTAAGGTTTTGTAGGGAGAGCCCGAGCCCAATCGAGATAGCGGCAGACTGGGAAGAAAGGCTATAGAAGGCTCGTGATAGAAGACAAACACGGGCTTGATGCTCTTTCCTACGAGTTGCTGAACCAGACTCAAGGTTTGCAGGCGATCGAAACGGTCCCCTGGGGAGCGACCTGCAGATCTGTCGGGCCCCAGCCATGTAAAATGTCCTTTCTTTCTCTCCCTGATAAATAAGGGGACACGTCGCGTTGACTTCAGTGGTGGGCCTATGGCAAGTCTGTTTCAGGATTTGCTGGAGGGCGGGGTCACATTTCGCCTCCTGTCGTTGCCAGTTTAATAGTGCCAGGGAGCTGGTGACAGAAAAGGCCCTTCCGCCTGGGATTCTGGACACTTTCCGAGAAGACAATCGTGGTTTAAAGGGGCAAGGCAAATAATCTGTCTCATATGATCTCCGGAGATACTGGAAGGTTGTTAATGATCATTATGTTGTTAATGATCATTATAATTCAAAACCATGTCGTCCAGAATAGTAATACGGGTAAGGGCAACGTCAGCAACGTTTGAATCAATGCACGACGGAGATAAGCACCGGTACTGATTCTGACTCCATTTAAAATCAGTGGGATAGTTTCAATTCCGCTGAGGGTTCTGAAAAAGGGAGTGAGTTTATATCTACACTACAAGCTGAAGTCAGATATCTACTGCTATATATTCCCCAAAGAGTCCTGTCAACTGTTGGTTAATGGGAGATTCTCTGAAAGAGAGCTTGGAGATTAGAGACCCCTGTAGGGGAGAGAGAGAGAGAGAGAAACTAAAGGTGTCTCCTCCTCCCAAGGTGGGACCAAGAAGGAGGAGCAGTGGCGTAGCGTGGGGGGTGCAGGGGGGGCCGGCCGCACCGGGCGCAACATCTGGGGGCGCGCGCTCGCACTCGCAGTTCTCTGCCCCTACCTGGCTCACTCACTCTCTCTCACTGCAGTGCTGGCTGTGCGAATCCGATCCAAGCCGCCGGGTCGCCGCCCACTGTGGAGGGGGGGGTGCCAGGCGTGCGGTGCGGAGAGAGAGCGAGGGACTATCTGGGGGAGGGACAGTGCAGCGGCCGCCCAGCGCAGCACTGAGCGCGGGAGAGAACCACAGCAGACCAGCCCAGGCAGCAGCAAGAAGAAGCTGGCAGCGGCAGCAGGTTAGGGGTTAGGGGGCGCAAATTACTTGCCTTGCCCCGGGTGCTGACAACCCATGCTACGCCGCTGAGGAGGAGGAAGTGGGAAGTGAGGTCAGCAACTCTGAGAGTATCACATCAGAAGGAAGGTATACAGTCTACACAGTTGGGTCAGAAAGACAGTCTAGGAAATTTGGTTCTTCTCCTTGTCCACTTTCTCCCCATGCAAATCCCATCAGCCTAAATACAGGAAAAGGATTCCCTGGGGACAAGGATGATTGTGGATTTAGGATCAGATTTTTAACTGTGATGGCAATTGAATGAAGGCCTGTCTTTTGTATTTCACACTCATTATCAAACCATTTTTGTCTCTGACAGTGCAATCCTATACATTTCTATTCACAGGTAAGCCCCACTGAGTTCAGTGGTACTTACTCCCAGGTAAGTGTGTATAAGGATTGCAGCCTGAAAGTCGAGGCTGCTCCTCACTTGTTAAGGCTTGGAGGAGAGAGCAAAGAAGGGTTGGCGAGGACCAACATCTCATAAACCAGACTTGACACACAGCTCTTTTCTGCCCCTTTCCTTGCAGACTTTGGACGGTTTCATATTTGTGGTAGCTCCGGACGGCAAGATCATGTACATCTCCGAAACCGCCTCTGTTCATTTGGGTTTGTCGCAGGTATGCTATGAATGTGCAGGCATGCACAGGATCCAGGCAAAGAGGGAGGGGGAGCCAGTTTGATGAGCAACGTTCAAGGCCAGGAACCTCACATGCAAGACCTGAACACTTCACCTCCACTGCTTTTGGCGAGCAAGGCAGGTGAAGCCAAGCCTGTTTGCTTGTGCAAATCCTAGCCCCATTTACTAGTCCGTCCCATTCATTTGGAGGAGTGTTTTTTAAGCACATCCTTTCAAACTCAGTAAGATGTACTTCTGAGTAAACATGCACAGGGTGGTGCTTTCAAGTTCCATTGACGATGACTTCAGTGCAATCCTAACAGCCTGATCCTAAATGTACTTATTAATTAAATTTGTATACCACCCTTCATCCACAGATCTCAGGGTGATGTACTTTTTGGGAAGCCTCACTGGGTTCAGTGGCACTTTGCTGCAGAGGAACATGAACAGGACTGGAGCTTAGCAAACATTTCCGTTGTGCTGGAAGTCCATTCCATTAAACTCTCACATAGTGTTTAATTGAATAGACCTGGGACATGCTGACACTCAGTGGCATAGTGTGGGTTGCCAGCACCCAGGGCCATGAGGAGGGGTGGGTGGGAGGGAAATGGATGGAGTACGCATGCACATTCAACTGTTTAACTGTGTCCAGGAGTTTGCAGCCACAGAGATTAGAAGAGTTGTTCAGTCGTCTGGAGAAGTCACTTCCTGGTTCACATGGAGAAGCCGTTGCCAGTGGAGCCTAGCAGAAGAAGCATGCAACTATACTGAGGCAGCACCGGGTGTTGAAATTTTACATCCTTAACAATTTTGTGCCTGGGGCAACTGCTCTTGTGGCCCCCCATGCTATGCTAATGCTATGCTGGCACGCCCATAGTACAATTCCAGAAATCTCTGTCCAGAAGATTGGCTGAGCTCCTGTGCAAGATGAATTCTGTGATGACAAGGAGGTGAAGCGTTGACCCATCTTGCATCCTGGGCTCCTTCAAGAGAAAGAGTGGGATATACATTCAATTAACAATATTTCCCTTTACAGCTCAGGCAAAGCTTCACCTGTTGAATTTCTAGTCACATTTAAAGGCACAGCAAACCTGCTGAAGATTGGCAACCATGCCTATTACCTGCTGCCAGTCTTGTGCATGTTTACTCAGAAATAAGTTTTCCTTCAGTGGGGGTGTGCTCAGCCTTAGGTCCAAGGCTGGATGTGGAATCTTTGGCCGCCCAAGAGTTGCTGAACTCCAGCTCCCATCATCCCTGTCCAATGGCCATGCTGGTTGGGGCTGATGGGAACTGGAGTCCAACAACGTCTGGACAGGACCACCCCATTATTGGTTTAAGGTATCCAATTGCTTGGTGCAGATGCCATTTTGCAACTGAACCTGAACTGTCCATCTAATTTGAAGGAGCCTTGTTCCTTTTCATGGTGTGAATTGACGTCCTTCGTGGGTGCTTCAGATTCCAGACCAGAACCCGAAAAGAGAAGAGGCTCAATTCCGTCGAGTGGCTTAAGGGGCTGAAGGTGGCTGAGATCACCCTGGGCATAGAATGGGGACACGTTGCGTCGTCATCGATGGAAAGAAAGATATAGCAGGGGGTTGAACACTAAATGACCCATTGGGTTCCTTCCAACTCTACAATTCTATTGTTTTCTTTCCCCTGCCCCCGATGACTCCCTCTTGCAGGTTGAGCTGACAGGCAACAGCATTTACGAGTACATCCACCCAGCCGACCACGACGAGATGACGGCCGTCCTCACCGCCCACCAGCCGTACCATTCCCATTTCGTTCAGGGTAAAGTTCACCGAGTAAAGCAGCGGGTGGGAAGGAAGGCAGTGGCCGGCGGCAGAGAGCAGCCTCTTCCCTGACATGCGCATTGTGCCCCCTTGTTTACTAGAGTACGAGATCGAGCGCTCCTTCTTCCTAAGGATGAAATGCGTCTTGGCCAAGAGGAACGCCGGGCTGACTTGCGGAGGCTACAAGGTAGGTGGGCTTACGAGCGCCAACTAGCGGCAGAGCGAAGAACTGTTTGCGCCCGGACTTGAGTACAAAGACAAGGGTGCTTTGAAACCTTCACTGATAGGAATACAGTAATCGGGAGCAGTTGGAGCTGTGTAGCGCTGCATGTTTCCACCTCGATTTGAAGCGCATTTACTTGGCAGCCAGTCCCACCCGTTTCCCTGGGACTTGATCCCAGTGAAGGCTGAGATTCCTTGCGTACTTGTTTGGGAGAAAGCCCCACGCAGCGGGACTCACCTCTGGGTAAACAGGCATAGGATTATTCCGTGAGCCAGCAATCCTCTGCATATTTGGGAGTAAGACCCTCAAAATCCCAGTAATTGCTTTCGGTAAGACTTAAAGTCTGTGCAAATCCTCTGCATAGAGAAAATAAGGCTAGAAACGGCAGAAGGGGAGAGTGCTCTTGTGCGCGGGCCCTGCTTGCAAGTTTCCCACAGGCACCTAGGGGGCCACAGTGAGAACTGGATGCTGGACCAGGTGGGTCACCGGCCTGATCCAGCAGGCTCTTCTTATGTAGTTATGCTGACCAGCTTACTATAGACTAAGTCCCTTGGAGGTCAATGGTTGGAATTTACTTCCAAGTAAATGCACATAGGCTCTCACTGTAAGTGTTCTGGGCCTGGAGATTTTGGGGGGCTGTAGGGACGCGGGTGGCGCTGTGGGTTAAACCACAGAGCCTAGGACTTGCCGATCAGAAGGTCAGTGGTTCGAATCCCCGCGACGGGGTGAGCTCCCACTGCTCGGTCCCTGCTCCTGCCAACCTAGCAGTTCAAAAGCACCTCAAAGTGCAAGTAGATAAATTGGTACCGCTCCAGTGGGAAGGTAAATAGCGTTTCCGTGCGCTGCTCTGGTTTGCCAGAAGCAGCTTAGTCATGCTGGCCACATGACCCAGAAGCTGTACGCTGGCTCCCTTGGCCAATAAAGCGAGATGAGCACCGCAACCCCAGAGTCGGTCACAACTGGACCTAATGGTCAGGGGTCGCTTTACCTTTAAGCTCCAGTGAGGTCAATGGCACTTACTCCCAACTAAGTTGCCAAAGTCCAGGCTAGTGCTGTCAGTGGAAGGCATTTCAGAGTAAACATATTTAGGATCTGGTTGTTGGCTTGCTTCAGGTCTAAACCACTGAGCCTCTTGGGCTTGCTGATAGGAAGGTCGCGGTTTGAATCCAGGCAACGGGGTGAGCTCCCGTTGCTCTGCCCCAGCTCCTGCTAACCTAGCAGTTTGAAAGCACGCTTGTGCAAGTAGATAAATAGGTACCACTGCAGCAGGAAGGTAAATGGTGTTTCGGTGCGCTCTGACTTCCATCACTAGAAGTGGTTTAGTCATGCTGGCTACATGACCCGGAAAGATGACTGTGGACAAACGTCAGCTCCCTCGGCCTGAAAGCAAGATGAGCGCTGCAACCCAAAGTCACCTTTGACTAGACTTAACTGTGCAGGGGTCCTTTACCTTTTACCTTTACCTTACATACTTTCAGTGGAGAAGTGATACCTTCTGAAGTGCAGGCGCACTTCATGATAACTCCCCATAGCCATACCCCAGTTGACCAATGAGGACATTATGGCTTCAGTTACCATGCCAGCTTTTTAAAATTCAGCCTCAGGAAGAGTTCAGGAGGACTCCACCGCTTGCTCACGATGGCTTAACGTTTTGGTTGACCACAAAAAAGGGGCTTTGGAATTTTCCAACAAAAAGGGTGCCAGTTTACCCTTTAGCCCCATATGCTGATGTCACCTCTCTCTTCCTCTGCTTAGTGGATGAGTTTCTCTCTGAAGAAAGCTTATTTTACAGACAGAGGGTTGGCCAACAGCGTCCTAGGAGATGACGCCATCGCCCCTCCGGTGACATCAGTGGTGGCGCTTCCTCCCTGCTCTCCTACAGACTTTTTTGTGTTGGCTTGCTGAAGTCTGCAATCATATACATGGCTTTCTAGGAACAAATCCCAGTGAGCTTTCCCTCAAGTAGATATGCCTAAAAGGTAAAGGGACCCCTGACCATGAGGTCCAGTCGTGGCCAACTCTGGGGTTGCAGTGCTCATCTCGCTTTATTGGCCGAGGAAGCCAGCGTACAGCTTCCGGGTCATGTGGCCAGCATGACTAAGCCACTTCTGGTGAACCAGAGCAGCGCACAGAAACGCTGTTTACCTTCCCGCCGGAGCAGTACCTATTTATCTACTTGCACTTTGAGGTGCTTTCAAATGTTAGGTTGGCAGGAGCAGGGACCGAGCAACGGGAGCTCACCCCGTTGTGGGGATTCGAACCGCTGACCTTCTGATTGGCAAGCCCTAGGCTCTGTGGTTTAACCCCCTAGGGAGGCACTTTAAGAGACCTCAGAGTGCCCGCCTGTCATAACGCAGCAGCTTACCTTGTTGAGCTGCAATATTCACTCCTGAGAGTAACCCCCACTGAATTCAATAGGATTTACTTCTGAGTAGGCATGGTTAGGATTGCTATTGCAGTGTTTTCCAAGAGCCTTGTGTTTTCTGGAAGAAAACTCCTTTAATTTCGGGGCTAACTTAGTTTGGGGCAAGTCTGTAGAGCACTAAATCACGTGCATAATATTCGACTGCGGGGAATTTAGTTGTGTGAATAATTTCGTAGTTTCCGAAGGAGGAAAGGCCTGTTTTCCGATATTTTACTTGCTTCCGGACTGTGCCTAATTCTGTCGAGGACGCCTTTCTTGAGAGGCTTGAGAACTAACTGCCCCTCCGGCTGCAAGGTAGCCCACGTAATTCAAAGGGAGGCTGCCAAGCAATCGCCCTGAGACTCCGTCCTACTGACTCTCCAGTAATTCCAAGTGTTTTGCCAGCCGATCTATATCGGGCACACGCAGAGAGATGTAGTAATAGATTTTGTCATCGCAAATAAACCACGCGACCAAGTTGGGTGAGAGAGTCAACAGTGCGTCTGTCTACTCAGAACTAAGTCCCACTGAGTTTGGTGGAGCTTACACCCAGGTAAGTGGGCATAGGACTGCAGCCCCAGTGAACAAATTCACTTCCTCGGAAACACGTGAAAGCGCGCACCCCAATCCTATGAATATTGACCTCTCGCCAGAGGCAATTAAAGGGGGGGGATCGCCCTGCACAGACCTCAAAAGCAATACATTTAAGTTTAGACTGTTCTCACGTTCTGCTGAGAGTCAATAGGTGTAGATAATAAGCCTCGTAATTGCGGGTTGGTTGGAGGATGCAGGCACCCCACTTGGTCACAGAGGAAGATGAGTGGCAGGTGAACGTCACCTGGTTTCATTCGGATGACTGAGAGGGAGTAGCGCGTTGATCCAGAAGAAGAAAGAAAAGATCATTCGGAGGCTGGCACGCTCCTTACGACCAACTAAATGGGGGCCCGGAAAAGCGGCCTGCAAATAGACACAAGAGAGCGTGCAAGCTTATTTCCCTGAGAAGCATCGGTTGTAAACTGATAAACAAAGTCCTGCCTGGCCGCCGTGGCCCCTTCAGGCGCGCAAAATCAACCCTTGGCGCTGTAGTCCCAACCAGACGATTAACAGGGACCGAAAAGGAGGGGAGGGGAGACCAACCGCGCGATCCTCTGCGCGTTTACTACATTGAGGCACACCCGTGGTGTCGAGTGGGGCTCCCACACTCCCTCTTTCGCGGGTTTACTGTTTGACAGTCTCCGTCCCGGAGAGTTTTCTGTTTGCGCGCGAGCTGTTTCGCAGATCGCTGACCACGAAGGGCAACCCGAACAGCCCTCTCGACTTGAGCGGATCTCTGTGTCTCCCCAACAGGTCATTCACTGCAGCGGCTACCTGAAGATCCGCCAGTACAGCCTGGACATGTCTCCCTTCGACGGCTGCTACCAAAACGTCGGCCTGGTGGCGGTCGGCCATTCCCTGCCCCCCAGCGCCGTGACGGAGATCAAGCTGCACAGCAATATGTTCATGTTCCGGGCCAGCCTGGATATGAAGCTCATTTTCCTCGATTCCCGGTAGGTCGGCGTCGGGGCTTCCTCTTCCCTCGCCCTAGCAGCACCGACGTGCCAAATCAAAGCAACCGACCGGCTTTCTCTCTCTCTTTCTCTGTCTCTCTCTCTTTCCTGGCAGGGTAGCCGAGCTGACCGGTTACGAGCCTCAGGACCTGATCGAGAAGACGCTTTACCACCACGTCCACGGCTGCGACACTTTCCATTTGCGCTGCGCTCATCACCTGCGTAAGGAGCCTCTCCTCTTAGCACGCTTGAAGCCCCTCGCCTAGGCAGGTCGCGCTGAGTTCCCTGGGCCTTACTCCCAAGTCAAAGTGGGCTGGCTGGTGGGCTGTCTTACTTGGGTATTTCCACGTAGCTGCGTGCGATCCTAATCAGGCTTGATGGAAGTCGTGCTGCGTTCATGGGGACAAGCATGCATAGGATTGCGGTAGCTGCTGGGAGCCGGGCGAAAGAAAGAGTAGGCAGCACGATTGAAACATTTCCCCAAAGCACCATTCCATCGAAATAAGACCCCAGGGAGAAAGTCTCCAACACAAAGCAAATTTGTCTCCACCGCAGCCCTTTAACCATAAGCCAGGCATAGGCAAACTCGGCCCTCCAGATGATTTGGGACTACAACTCCCATCACCCCCAGCTAACAGGACCAGTGGTCAGGGATGATGGGAATTGTAGTTCCAAAACATCTGGAGGGCCGAGTTTGCCTATGCCTGCCTTAAGCACACGAGGGGACAGGTTGCACTCCACTTGACAAAAGAGTATCATTCATAGTTTGAAGGGATGATGTGTTTGGGATTAGGGGTTGAGATTCCAGCTGAGTCCAAGAGGACCAGGGTTCCTGCACCTCGTCATCGTCTTGCAGAAATTGGGGGTTCTGCCTTGCAAACCATACCTGTTGAAAGCCCCTCTCCTGCACTGTGATGGTAAGGCACAGGGGCCCTGGTCCTCTTTTGCATTGGTCACCCCATCACTATGGCAAAAAGAAAGTGCTCGATTATACTGAAAGCTAAAGGAATAGATGTGCTTCATGGATAATCAACTTGACTTTTGTGTAGGAGGGGGCGGGGATGTGTAGATGAGTTTTCCCATGTCATTCCTTAACTCCAAAATAATCTCAGGCCTATTAAGGTAATAAGAGACCCAACTCCACCCCTCTAGGTTTATTTTTAGAAAGCAACAAAGGATATGCACTTCCCTCATGCCTTCTGCTGAACTGCTTTATGATGTGTTAATGGTGGGTGATGGAATAGATTTGGCTTGAAGAAATGACATGGTTTGAGAAAGGGCTGTGAGAAATCGCCTCTCAAGCCTGGCATGAGTAGGAATGCAACTTCTTAACAGAAGAACACTTTGGGTTTAGTCTTCAAATCAATGACAATTTTTAAAATTTTTGTTAAGTGATTTTGATGGGAAATCCATACTACCTCCTTGCCAACCTTTAATTTTGGGTTCTCTCTTTTGGTGTGTTGGTCCCTGATTCTAATTATATTTACAAGGGTGTGAATCCTATAAGGTTCGTTTTAATTTAGGGCAGGGCTTCAAAGAATCATCTGATGTTAGTGGCTTGGAATGCACTTTTCCAGAGCAGATCCTCATCACTGCTTAAACCGGCTTGCTGCTTGGTTTGCTCTTTCCTAGCTCTGTGCTTGTAACTGTAATACATACCACAATTGTGATAGAGACAGAAATTCAGCTGGCGAAAGGTATTCTGTAACTACATCTTCCTGCTGGGGAAAGTGGGTACTGTTAAAGCTGGGTAATGTCTTTCCAAAAAACAAAGGGTTAGGCCTAGCTGCTACTGCAGACTTCAGACTAAATAGAAGTGATCGCAAAATTGTTCTTAAGTTGGAGAGACAGCACAGGAAGGACTGGGGTTTTGTGTCACTTTAACAGCACAATCCTACACGTTTCCACAAAGAAGGGAATCCAGCTGAGTTCAGTGAGGTTTTCTCCCAGGTAAGTGGGCATAGAATGCAGTTTAATGGTGCAATCCTATGCCCTTTTCTAGACACACACAACTCCCAGTTTGGGAGAGGTGATGAAAGGGGATTGGTTTATGACAGTTCAGTGGACATAAATTTATCTTTGGCTTGTTGTAGACGGGGTGGCAGGGGTGTGGCTGGTACAGCATTAGAACCTTCTAGATCTTCCCGTGGCATGCCCCTGAGCTGCCCTGCCCTGCAGCGTTAGGGGATTAAAGATCTGATAGGGGATCATCCTCTCTGAGGAGGTCTGATGTATTCTATTACCTCTGACCATATGAATGCCACATAAAAGTCTTAACTCCAATTAATCCAGGTTGTTTTGGTTTGCGGTCCACAGCTTTTGGGACCCATCCTAATTAAATCTATAAGTCTATAGCTTTAAATGTGTGTTGCACTTTTAATTGCTGCCATTCTGCATGCACTGACTTGAAAGCGCTGCTGAAAACAATGAGACATTTAAGTAAACATGGTAAAGACAGGCTTGCAAAACATTTTGTTAATTTTGAGTCTCAGATTTTGAGTGTTCAGTCTAAATTCTAATATATTTAACAAAATTTGGGACAAGGGTGAGCTCTCAATATCTGCATTACAAAGACAGTGTCAAATTTGTTAATTAAAGTTTTTTAATTCATAGTTAGGAAGCTTTACAGTACAATCTTTTATGACTGCTCAGAAGTAATTCCCATTAAGTTCAGTGGGTCTTACTCCCAGGTAAGTGTGTATAGAACTGTACCTCAGTCTGTTTTCAGAATTGCTATGTTGATGTTTGACAGAGAAGGAGGTCATGACAGCTGAACTCTTTAGTAGTGTAGACACTACAAAGCCTTTAGTCTCTCTCATGGCTGCCAGGAAAAGGCATTTTCACTAGAGACCATAAGAATGCCTTTTAATCTAACTGCTGACACTTGTGAACTCCTGTAACATAATAATCACATGCCAGAGACTCATTTTAAATTTGATTGACACCCTGGCTGGGAAGTAGACTGACTTTTGCTGTTAATGATTGATTGTGCTTTTGAGTTGCCATGCCCTTACAGTAGAGCATTGCGTTTCTACCATCTGCCACCACTTTGGTCAGAATTGTAATGGGAAGTGCGGCTTCTTTCAAAATAGGTGGAGGACAACAACTCCCACCATCCTTGGCCATGCTGGCTGGAGCTGATGGGAGGTTGAGTCCAACAACTTATGGAGGACTACAGTGTAAGTCGATGTGGTGGTCTGGAGAGGTGCCACTCTTGAAAAGACATAATGTGCCCAATGACCTTAATGTACATCAACATGAATATAGAGGACTGGTAAAACCACATTCTACTTCTTTGCTGAGAACACCGACAACATCTCTCCGAGTTCACTTCTAATTGGTCCCACTCAACGCTATTCAACCTTGTTGAAGCTAAAGGAAAGTAGTTCTGGATAAGAGACCACCCAGTTGCCCAGAGCTTTCTAAAAAGCAGGGCACAAGTTAAATCACTGAAATATAATAAAGAAAATGGTGCCCTTGTAGAGATTTGTTAGAGTTCCTCTTTGAAGGTAAAACAGAAATGGAGTAACTGCTCATTAAATAACCAGCCCTTCTATTTCTTTTTCAGTGCTAGTGAAAGGTCAAGTTACCACAAAATACTATCGCTTCTTGGCCAAGCAAGGTGGCTGGGTCTGGGTACAGAGCTACGCCACCATTGTCCACAACAGCCGATCTTCACGGCCTCATTGCATCGTCAGCGTCAATTACGTGCTCACGTAAGTACCAAATCCCACGAGGTTTCTTGTTACTCCCCAGCAGAGTGCCTGTGTCAACTCACATGAACATTGGGGCATTGCACACCAAAGGTTTGCTAATGCGCCAGTCCCATGAGTCTTGGAGAAGGGCTGTTGGAGAAAAATAAGTGCTTGATGGATTGCATCAAAGGTGCTCTTCTTTTTATTCTGCCTGTCATGGAAGTGCTTTAAGTGGGGGTCATAAAAAAAGGCAAATATTTCAGTCCTGCCAAGAAAACTCTCTTTGGCCCAGGGCTTGAGTTGACAAGGCCCATCCTTCTCCATGAGCTTGGTAGGAATCCACAAAGTTCTTTCATCTGCCTGAAAGCTTTTCCCTCCTGTCTTCTTCTGTTTCCCTAGAGGGGAAAGAACAAGATTTAGGGCTTTGTCACCCCTTGAGTTTGCTCCTTCTCCATCTTTTTACAGTTGAAGGGGCACCCTGCATTAAATAAAGTTTAATGCAGCGTAAAAGAAAGGTTTCAACGTACGGAGTTATTTATACTTAACAAACAGGACATCTGTTTTTCTTTTGCTCCCCAAAAGGGGGGGGGAACCTGGGAGTTTGAAGTTCTTAATTTTATCCAGAGTCTCTATCAAAGCCCCATGATTTCTTTCTTGTTCAAAGGGATGGAGACTTGCATGGAACTAGGTGGGGTGACCAGAAGGGGTTCAGTTAGCAAACTAATAAAATATAGGGGGGAAAGGGGGAGGAAGAGTAATGAAAATGTTGACTTTTGCCCTCACTCTTTATCCCATCATTGTTAATATTTAGGCACTGCCAGAGGTAGAGGTCTACATGGATGGTATTAGACAGCATACTCAAGGTGACTCCCATGTGAATTTGTTACCTCTTAATGCAGTGCACAGAGCAATCCCTAGGTATATTAACTCATAAGTACATCCCACTGGGTTCAATAGATAAACACTCATACAGGAGTGCAGACTTAGTTGCTTTCTGTTTTCAGGAGTAGAGTTGTTAAAGGGTAGTTAAGGGGAGATTCTCTCCCACCATCTGTAATTTATTTCTGGCTGTACTGGCTTACCTGTCAATAAAGTCCCATTGCTCTCAATGGGACTCACTTCTGAACAGACATGTCTAGGATTGCTTTTATGCAAGGTGACATAGAAAGTACTATGTGATTTGGCTCACTTGTGTGATGTTTTTATGTTACAAAAAGGTAAAAGTAGCCAAGGTCCATATTAGAACAAGAATACCTATATTAGGCCAACCCAAGTCATGTGCTTTCAATGAAGAGAGTGAGAGAGCCCATATATTCAAAGCACACTGCTTTCCCCCAAAGAATCTGGGGAACAATAATTTGCGTTTCACAGAGCTACAATTCCCAGCACCCTTAATGAACTTAAGATTCTTGGGGGAAGCCATGTGCTTTAGATGTGTGGTGAGGATGTAGCCAGGGAGAGAGAGAGAAAAGCTGGTAATGCAAGAGACTGGAAGCCAGCATAGAAATCCAGTAAAAGCAGCCCTTTTGGTACCATTGTGTTAAATTTAAGGAAGTTGGTGGCATTGCAGCACAATCGATAGATATGGATCCAGATGAGGGGAACAGTATTTGAGGGGGGCACAGAAGAGGGGAAGTATATTTATAGGGGAGGGAGAGCCTGTGAAAAGCACCTTTCCTTCAAGTGACTATAGGGGTCTACCAATGGGGAGCGTGGAACTGACTGTGTGTGTGGGGAGCACTTTCCCTCCATTTTCCCTCTGGTCAGCCTATGCCCCAAGGTGCACCCAGAGCTCAGCACTTCTTTTTGTCTCAACAACATGCTTTGACCATAAGGAATCTGAATAATAACATTTCTGTAAAAAATTGTGGGTCAGTGAATGTTTTGCCCACTCCTTTTTACACCCTCTCCCCACTATTTTCCTTCCTTGTGCTGCCTTAGGTATTGGTTCCAGTCTGCCTTGCTAATTCTGAATACTTAGAGAATCTAGGTGTGGTAATTATTTTAGATTACTTGATTTGGATTGTGTATCCCCAGCCCACAGGCTTGCTAATTGAGAAAGTTCAGGTGCTTCTTTTGTTGCTAATAATGTTGTCACTGCAGTGATTAAAAAGCCACATCCTGCGGCTGCTGATGGAGTGATCACAGTTGCTGGTTATAGCGGTTTACCTGGCACATCTGGTGGGCCAGTGGGCTGGCTTGTTTCTCGTTACTGCCAATCAAGTAGATTTTTTGCATTGATTCTCTTCTCTCTCCTTTGCTTTGACAGAATTGCTTTGCTCTGTTTTGAAGAGGGGGGGCATGGCCAGGAGAAGGAGTAATAAGCAAGTGACCTTTGGTTCTACTGTAAAACCTTACGAACTTTCAAATGATCTAGGACAGTCTAGGACAGTCTCTGGCTGTGTTGGACTACAACTCCCACCATCCCTAGCTAGCAGGACCAGTGGTCAGGGATAATGGGAATTGTTGTCCGAAAACAGTTGAAGACCCAAGTTTGGGAAACACTGCTCTAGGAGATCCCTATTGCACAGGCTGCCTCATTCCCAGGGATGCCACAGGATTTCCTGCTAAGGCAGTGTCTATTCTTGCCAAGTAGATTTGTTTATATGGATCATCAAAAATCATTGCTGTCATTTGAACGGGATTGAAGGTTGACTTGGATGTGGGCTTTTGGTGCCCACCAGTTGTTGTTGGACAACAGCCCCCTTAGTCCATGGGCATTTGCTATTCTGGCAGAAGCTGATGAGATTTTGGGCCCAACAACATAGAGAGGGGGCCACAGGTTCCCCAACCCTGATTTACATGGTTGCAGTCTGGGAAGGAAACCCAAGGTTTCCCCAAAGCATTTATTTATTTAGAGCACTTTTACCCCACTCTTAAAGAAACTTCCTAAACAGATATTATTATTATTATTATTATTATTATTAATTTGTACCCCGCCCATCTGGCTGGGTTTCCCCAGCCACTCTGGGCGGCTTCCACAGAAACAAAAAATACACTAAATTCACACATTAAAAAGATTACAATCCCACCCTTGGGCTTTCAATCTAAAGGACAGGACACAATAGGAAAGTAGATTGGGAGAGAATAGGAAGAAAAAGCAAACCCAGGAATATAACAACAACAATAATTCTATTATTTAATACCCCACTCATTTGGCTGGATTTCTCCTGCCATTCATTCTTACAAAGTTCTTTCAAGGGTCAGCTGGAATTGAAACAGTGCAAGGAGAGGAGAAGCCAGCAGATTCTAGTCTCTTGGCTTTTGGTCCAGCTTCCCACATCTCCCTCTGCACCAGACTGTCAGTTGATGGAGGAAGAGCCTTATGGAGCTGCTATCTTGTTAAGAGCTGACGGAGTGGTTCTGATTTCCTTCTCCTGCCCTGCTGCAACTGGATAGAATGACAATTGCTCAATGGTGTCACTGGGGAGGAAAAGGCGGATTGGACTGTACAATGACTTATCAATAACTGAATATGACAGTCAGAAAACAAGGAGCTGACATTTAAAAATATGCTACCTGTCAGGGATGATCATATGCTTTCACCTTTAGAGGGAAATATGGTGATAATGCTCTTCTCCCAGTTTGTTTTCTGATGATAGAATGTGATGGAACCCTGGGAACTGTTCATTTAAAAGGAATAACTGAAGGTATTATGTGTAATCTAAAGATAAACTTATTTGGCTTTTCAAGTAATGACATACAAAACAAACCTTTTAGGATGCTGGAAAGATTTCACTGTAGATTTTGTTGTTGTTTCCAAGTGCTTAAAACCTCCTTGGACTGTTATGGGCTACACAGGGTCAATAGGTGGGTACAAAATAAACATTTCTATAATTCTAGAGGCAAAATTCTGCAAGTCAAGAGGCAAGTGTGGGCAGGGCAATGGATGTGACCTTTGTACAATAGGTTTCATTTCAGCCATACAAAGCTGGCTGGTTGGTTTTTCTACACATCCACAATCTCTTCTTCTTCCTTCAGGCAAGCAAGACACTTGATCACATTTCAAGGACACATTGGAGCCAGGCAAAAGGACTTGAGGAGGGTCCAGAGCAAGACTGGAGATATGTGTTGCTTGAGGGGGGAGGCCTGGGGAGCACACTGAGGGTTACATAGAGAGGCCTGAGGTTATCCTTAAAATAACTGCCAGTGAAAGGGTTACTGATTCAACAGGAAAGTGCCTTTGCTGATATTAGGAATCTTAGGCTGCATACACACCATGTATTCAAAGCATACCCTCCCCAAGAATCCTGGGAACTGTAGTTTTTTTAAGGATGCTGGAAATTGTAGCTGTGTGTGGGGATAAACTACAGTTCCCATAATTCTTTTCTTCATTTTTTTTGGACAATGTGTGCTTTCAGTGTATGTATGGGGTGTACATAGGCTTCATTGGCATCAGATTATCTTGCTTTGGCACCATAGATGAAGTACATTGGACTGCCCATTTATGATCTTAAGGAAGAGTCTGTTTTCTTGAATTATAGGTTTTGCAGTTTTATATCCCTCATCCCTAACTTTCTCACTAGGAGCACACCAGATGCTGACCCCTCAAATTCCTTCTATGATTCCTCCCTCCACCTCTGCTACTGTTAGGTACACAATAACAATTGCATTTATATATTCAAAGTCCAAATCTCACATTTATTTTACCAGTAGTTTAAATAAGGGTGCTGAATGTATATTTAGTCAAGCATTACAGCACCCAGGGCTTAAGCAGATTAGAAATGAATAAATCCAATTAAAGACCATGTCTGTGAAATTTGATAGGTCACCAGCATGAATGAACTGTTTGCACAGTAACAATAAAAACCCCATTAATGATTAGCAACTTACAAGAGGTTTAATCAAGGATCAAATATATAAGATGTAAAATATTTAGATTAAAAAGAGAGAAGATTTTGAATTCATACCAATAAATATAACTGTTTAATGATGTCTGTCTTTCTTTGGATGGTCATATTGCTGTTATGGGTCTTTTGCTGGTTACTCATCATCATAAGCTGTAATGAACCTCTGGGGTTGTCTGCCCAAGATCTTGAAGTATACAAGAACTAATAGATGTTTATTCAGTTCTGTCTCAAAAACCTTCCAGGAATGGAACCTACAGATTCACTGGGAATTATTCTTACTATTCACTGGGTTCCACTGTTCCTTGCACACAAACCATGCACTTCCCAGCCACTTCTCAGCTATGTATCAATGTCAAGGAACTGCAACTTATTTTCCATTTTCACTTAGGAACACTTTTAAATGGGAAGAGCTGTAGCACATGCAGGAAGTCCCAGGTTCCATGCATGGCATCTCCAGATATGGGGTCTGAAACTGGCATTTCAGTGTATAATCTGCCAAATACAGCAGTATTTAAGTTAAATGTAATTATGAAGCAAACAGAGCTGGTTACGTTACATTGAAGTCTTAGGTTGGTTATAGATTGGGCCATGAAACCAAAAGATCCAGCAGCAGCCTCCTGAGACATATTTGAGTTTCTGTGGAGTTAACCCCGTTGAAGTCAATGGGACTGTGAACTGACCTAAATCCTCATGTTTTCATTAGCTTCAACGAAGTTCCATTTACAGAAATATTAACACAGTAGGTTTCTATGCTGCTTCTTAGCTGAAGCTTCCAAACCAGCTCACATCCTCATGAAATAAAAAGCGCATTGTAACAATACCATCTCTTGATTCTCTTTGCATCAAGGCCAAAAGTGAAATCTCCACTGGAAGGTTTAACTATCAGCTGTGATGGGAGCCCAGGTTAGCTCCATGTCAAGTGCTTCCAAAAATCTCATACAGAATGACTAGCCCAAGATCATTTGAGATTCTTATCGTAACAGAATGAGAAATTGAACTTGGATCTTGTGATGCTCAATCCAACAGCACTCGTATTAATGGTCCCCCCTCCCAACATGTAAAAAAGATTGCCTTGAAGATTGAGGTGAAAATGTCTAGTCTGGGAAACAGCTGGGGGTCCCTATTAACTTTGCATGTAATGGGGGATGCTCTCCTACTGGTGTGTGAGGATTTACATTTCTGTGCTATTAATACAAATAAGAGATACTGTTTATGCATAAATGCTTGGATATTAAAGTAGAAATGCAAAGGTTGGCTTTGGGAAGATGAATTCTTAAAGGAAAGATGGGAGGTGTTGAAATTGGCTGTTTTATCTCTCAACTAATAGGCTTTCAGTGTATTCTCTGCAGACATGCTGCTAAAAAGCACCTATGAATGGGAAATTATGTAATGGGAAATTATGCTATATATAAAAAAACAACCAACACGCTAGCTTGCCCAGTGTTAACATTGCAGGATTCAGGGGCACCACCTTCTCCAAAGGATTGAAGGGGCCCGTGTGTGATGTCACACGGGGCCCTTCTGAACATTGAGGAAGCCTGGTCCCTTAAAAAAAAGGGGGCGGCACAGTGCCTTGGCCCCCAAGAGCTGGCACCTTGGCAGGATTACACCAAGTTAAAAGGGTATTGTTTCATCTGAAACATTAAATCAGGTTTCCCTCTTTATAACTTTGGTGCCAATTCAGGGTGATGTTGAGGGGTTTTGTGGAACAAAAAGTTGGCTAACATTTAAATGCCTTTGTGAACTGTCTGAAGTGTCCTTTGGTATGCTTCATGTACCTTGGTGCCTGCCCATACAAGGAGCCTAGATTGAGAGAGTAGGGTAATGTAAGCTGGTTCCAGGAATCTTCTTTATTGGGAGATCGGGGGGGGGGGGGAGAGAGATCTTTGAAATTGTTTGGACCCTAGTTGAGAGCCAGGAGGCTCTTGAGCAGGGAGATGTGTCAGAAGGAGAAGGAATTGATATTGGTCTATGTTTCTGAATAATTTATATTAATGGGTTTCCATAATGTATTTGTAACTACTGTTGTTTTTTGTTTTCTGCACACCACATTATTCTTAGATATCATGTGGTATAGAAATGGTCTAAATAAGTACCTACTACTTCTGATTTGCTTGGATAGCTCAGCTGGTTACAGCATGGTGCTGATAATGCCAAGGCTGCAAGTTTGATCCTCGTATGGGACTGCTGCATAATCCTGGATTGCAGAGGGGTGGGCTAGATGAGCCTCAGGGTCCCTTCCAACTCTACAGTTCTATGGAACATCAGTTGGACTTGCAAATCTCTCTTCTGAAGAAGCTAAGGCTGAAATCACTGCAGCTTGCAGCATCTCACCTATCTACCCTCTCGCTTTCGAAAAAGAGCATCTCTTTCTATGTGTGTTTTCACATTGCTTATGCCTCTTCCCATGTATATGTAACTTTATAATTGGCCTTTAAAGCGAGATGAGCGCCGCAACCCCAGAGTTGGTCACGACTGGACCTAATGGTAAGGGGTCCCTTTACCTTTTTAATTAGCCTTTATGTGTTTAAATTTTCAGTTTGTCACGACAGTATTGGCTTTTGTTATTGTCACTTCCTGCCAGGGTTTTTGCTAGCTGATTGGGCAGAGACAGCAAGTTAAACGGTCCTTTTTTTGCTTTTGGTGTAAATTTAGTCGCCAGCCTGCAGTGTCTGTGTTTATGGAAAGGCAGTAAAATACACAAAAAGGCGGCGGCGGCGGGGGGGGGGGGAATCTGCAGTGATTGGTACAATAACTCAGCTTCTCTCCTGAGATCAATCTATTTCTTGAGCACAGTGATTTATTCCTCCTAGAGCCCACGGTTCAATTTCTCTAACTGGGTGGCTCCAGGGTGAAGGAACTGGAGTTGGCAGAACAAGAGCCTCTTTTTCCAGGTGTAACATTTGCCAGACTGCTGTGCAGCAGGCAAGTGGTATTCAGAAAGGTTTTGCCTCTCCTGAAGTAGTCGAGTCCATTCTACCACTTCCAAACTCAACTCATTAATTCTGCTGCATGTGAAGCTACAGTGAGGCTATAGAATTTGCTGCTGTGGTGATGGTTGGTTCCCACCCCTTTAGAAGGAGATTAGACAAATTAATGGAGGATAAGACTATCAATGGCTACTACCACCTCCAGAATCAGAGGCACCATGCCTTTGATCAGTCTCTGAGAAACAGGCCTGTTGGCCTTGTGTCCTGCTTTTGGACTTCCTTTAAGCATCTGGTTGACTACTTTAGGAAAGCAGGATCCTGGATTTTGGTCTGATCCACCAGGGCTTGTCCTATGTTCTTAATGTAGGTTATGAAGGTAAGCCAGGCCATTGTACAAAACTTCCATTATGTCTCGACACCCATTCCATTGAAATAAACACCAACGGACACAAGGCAGAAACCTGACAAATGACCAGAAGCATTTGTATATTGAGATTGATTGTACCTCATCTGTCAATCTCTAGACAAGCCAACTTTCCAAACCACCACAATAGTTTATAGTGCTCCGTGTATTCCCAGTTATAAATATTTTTGCATGTGGTATAATATAGACTAGACCTGTCACTTTTATACTGGAGGTCTGGCTTTGCCCAGTTCCAGTTAATGAGCCACTGTTCTTGGCTTGTTTAAAGTTATGTAATGAATTAACTCTAAACTAATGAGTTATCCATCAAATGTGGATTGTCTATATTGAGACCCACACTGCTGTCATTTTAATATATATAGTGGCCTGCACCACAAACACTTCAGGTGGATTTACTTAACTAGAGCAAAATTTGGAGCAAACTTCAACACTTCTAGTTTTTTAAGGGATTTCCCCCTCAGGTCTCATGTGTAGATTATAATAAATGAATCCTCTTGTTTGTCCTTTGAAAAGCCTCAGAAATTTGGATATATTCTTAGTGATTGTGTACTCTTTGTCGTCTTAGACCATTTTGTGACTATGTACTGTTATAAATCTTTCCTTCCAATGGATGGTTTCAACTGTATCTATTTATTGCCTTCATTAATGCTTGATGCTCTTTGTTGTGCCATCTGCATTCAGTGACTCCTTATTGACATATGGAGCACTGGGCATGAAATTTAACTATGCTCATCACTACATTTGAAGAATGCTCTGTATGAATGGACAGTCTCCACTGCTCATGTGGAGCATTCTCTTGTTCAGGGAAGACTGTTTGATGTGTACCTTTGCTATTCTCTATTTTATTTATTCCTGAGCCGCTGCCTCCCCTTTCCACTTTTCTTCTGTAGTCTGGAAAGAGACTCACATTTCCTACAGGTATGTATATTTTATGGGATGATTTCTTACAAAAGGGATCAAGACACTGCATAAAATGAAAGCTATACAAGTTGACCCCAAGTTGTCTTGGATGGTATTAATTCCGCCTTATTCCTTTTATCCAGGGATACAGAATATAAAGGACTACAGCTCTCATTGGATCAAGTTTCAGCAACAAAGCCATCATTCCCATATGCAAACTCAACACCAACAATCACTGACAACAGAAAAGGAAGCAAGTCGCGTCTGCCGAGCACAAAGTCAAAATCTAGGACATCTCCATATCCACAGGTATGAATAACATGATTTTTTCATTATTATGGTTGTGCTTCATATGTTTTAAAGAAGGTCTAACTCAATATAAGGGAGTTTCCTATGCTCCCATGTCTTGGAGAGACCCCATCTGAAGCTCTGGAGATCCATTGTCAGTTGAGTGTAGACAGTATCGAGCTAACTGGATCAACAGGTCTGATTTGGAGCAAGGCAGCTTCCCCTGCAACATATATTCTATGTTCATGTGGAAAATAAATTATCTAACTCTGGGGCCACAAGTGAAAATATTTTTCTTTGTGTCCCTGTCTGCTAATCTTACTTTGTAAACCATATATATATATATATATATATATATATATATATATATAAATAAATAAACAAACAAATGTGTGTGGGGTGTGTGCGTGTTAGTGATTAGGACATATGGAGGAAATTCCATCACATCCTTGCAGCTCTCCTGCAGAAGAGAGCTTCTCTACTTAATGGAGGCTGCCTGCATGGTTTTGAACTCTAGTAGATTAAATGATGAGGAAAAACTGAACATATGAGGTGCGAGCAGGTAGTGAGCAGAGAGTATTATGAAGGTCAGTGGGCAGGGCTAGCTCTTCCATTAAGCTGAGTAAGGCGGCTGTCTCAGTGTTGGTGCAGAGAGTAGAGTTGGAGAGGTAGATGTGCTTGGTTTATTATATGAAATGAAAGTGATAGAATACATCAATGCTGTTACAGACAGTAAAATTTCAATTTAAGCAGGCAACAAATCCTACCATACCTACATACCTTGATCTAAAGAATGGAAGAATCCCTACCTATTCTCAAAAGCCTCAGAAGTGAGCTTGACAATTGTGAGCAGGACTCACACTAATAGTAATTTAAGAAATGCAGAGGAGGGGGAGAAATAGCATACCTGTCCTTAAGAGTGTGTGTGTTCCTTCCTTGTGAACACTGATTGAAGGTCCTCGCTGGAGCTAGGAGAGCCAGCTGATTTTTTGAAACCTGGGGGATTTATACCATTTTGGTCAAGGTGTTCCAACAGAAAAGAGAGGAAGGCCTTCAGATGAGCAATTTCTACAATTTCCAATAGTTCTCCTGCCTTTTCCCCAGAGTTCCTGCCCAGCTTCACCTGGTCCATATTTCCATATTTCAGATTAAGTGTTTGAAAGGAAATCATCCTGGTGGGGTGTGACTGAACTGATTACCTTTGTCTGCTCACTGTCTTCAAATTATCAAATTATCAGGTGGTGAATAAAGGTTACCAGATGTCCCCGTTTCCCGGGGACAGTCCCTGGATTTATACATCAGTCCCCATACAAAATCCATTGAAGTTGAAAAGTGTCCCTGGATTCATTGAAAAAAATCTGGTAACCTTAGAATAGACTGTATGGACTGGCAACTAAATGTACATGTGCTGACCTTTATGCGAAGTGTGAGGAACTCAGAGTGTTTCCTGAATGCCCTCAGGGCACGTTTTGAGATCAAACTTGTACCAAGGTCACCAGAGTTCATCATGTCATATTAGAGCTATGTCAGTTTTTTTACCTATGCTATGATCGACAGTAATAAACAACAGAATAAGTACAGATTGACACACACCTATTCACAGTACAGCAGAAATTGACAAGAGGTATTATTGATAATGATCATCTGAATGTAATCTTTCCTTATAATGACCATATAATGAAAAGTACTCTTTCTATAATGGAAACACTTGGCCAGCATCTGGTTTGACCTTTCAGGGGTTCTTCTGCAATTCATTTTTTAGCGCTGTTGGAGAATTGTGTTTAAGCCACTGATTGCAATGTTATTTGCAGCTGTTTAACTCCAAACCTATTTACTGTACTAGCCTTGGCTGATGAGTGTCAATGAAATATTGCTAAGCTTTCATGTGATGAATATTGATATCTCCTCCAAAAGCTAACCATCTCATACTGCAGCCTGTTACTTTCATTTAGAAACTTCTGTTTTGTTGATTAAAAAGGACTGTATAAATAATGGGTTGGATCCAATGGTGGCTTTGCAGAAAGGGCTTCTTACATAAGTTAGGATATCTGTTTTGTTTGTTTGTTTGTTTTGTTTTGTTTTTGCCAATCCCACCTCCACCACTCTCCAAAATACACTTCCAAAGTCTGGGGAACAAAGAGTAGAAAGGAATAAAATATGACATGGCAGGGTAGCTGCAGTACTTGGGTGGTGTGTGAGGGGGTCAGATTAGTGATAATCCCGTATCCACTAAGGCAAAGGTGCCATAAGATACCACTCAACACATTCAGCCCACCAGACTTCATACCAATAGACCCATACAAATCTTTTCCAACTCTGAAAAACACAAGGGAGAATCTCTCCATTTTCTATTGCTAAAAGTAACCCCCAAACTGGCATTGACTCACTAGCAGCAGAGGTTAGTTTAATGGTTGTGCTGTGTTACTTTAATCTAAGCCCTTTGCCATCTGTTCTGCCTATAACAGTGAATGCAAAATGAACATACATAAGATTTCAGAGTTACATTAGTAAAAAGCAAGATAAAAGTGATTTAAAAGCATGCATATGTTCTCAGCACAGTGCATACTGCATCTGTGATTCCCCCTCAAGTTTCAGGCACAAATTAAGAAGAAAGTTGCAAATGCCCAGTACTGCAGAAACCTTTGATAGCAAAGGAGACTTTATTGAGAAGGCTTTTCTCTCTCTCTTCCTTTGTAAGAGCAGTTGTGTTGCCCAGGAATTGAAATAAGAGTCACATAGGTTGTAGCACACATTTGACTTTGGGTGTGAAGCCTGGTTCTGTTGTCCTTGGCCAGACTGGCACTGAGACCTATCAAGATCCGATGGGAAGGGTTTGTGTGCTGTTGCCCCAAGCCAGCCGGCAAGAATGTGCTAGCGCTTAGCAGCTTAATAAAGTTACAACCCGGCGCATACTGATGCATGCTTAAGTTCCCCTGAAATCTACCACGTGCATTCTCAGTTTTCTCAGCCTCTCTTCTTAACCTAAGTGTTTTACAGCTTTGTAACTGGTAAGCCGATCTGTTCCCCTGAAGCAGCTTGCATTGTAAGAGCCTGAAAATGTAAGCTTTGCAGCTCTTTCAACAAGAAAAGGAGGGAGTGGGGAGCTAGACTCTCGTAAAATGTATTGATTTTCCTATTTTGTCTCAGTATTTATATAAAGCTTAGGTAAAAAGAGAGACCATGAAAGACTTTACCTCCTTTTGGCTGCTGTCCAGAAACCACTTAGAGCCGACTCACATGATCTGCCCTTTCACTGCATGGGGATTTTTTGTAGCCACCTTGCCAGGGTGATATATAAAGAACCTGATATATATGCTATAATGCATAACTTAATTTGAGCCAGGGCGCTCAGTTACAGAACCTGTTCTTAATGCCAGGGATTGAAATCATTATTATACAAGATTTATATACTGCTTACTAGAACAAAAGATCTCTAAGCAGCTTATGGAATACAGTCTATAATATTTATTTTAAAACACCAATAAAAAATAAACATAGAAACAAACAAAATATTTAAAAAACTGGTAATTCTAAAACACTTACGTTTGCTCAAATTACATTTCTGGGCCATGGGCGTAGCCAGGATTGGTGGAGAGTGGGGGCAGCCAAAGTTGTTGAACTTTACTGAGAAAATCAGGTGTAAAACTACCCTGCAAATAGGACATTGCGGGGTTAGGCTTCTGCTGGGGAGGGGGCAGAACCTCTGATAACTGAGTACTTTCAAAGCTTTTCAATTAATATTTGTGGATCTAGCCCCCCCTCCCCGCTTATGCCCATGACCTGGATAGGGATGACCTTGAATGATTTTTAGCCAGGTTGAGTATTTTTGAGCATACCTCTGCCCTGCTTTGTGATAAATGGTCTGGAGGGTAGGACTTGGAGATTTGGACTGAACATCAGGAAGAACTTTCTGACAGTAAGAGCTGTTCGACAGTGGAATAGACTACCTCCGAGATGGTGTACTTTCCTTCATTGTAGGTTTTTAAGCAGCGGTTGGATGGCCATCTGTCTTGAATGCTTTAGTTGAGATTTCTGCATCTCAGGGGGTTGGACCAGATGACCCTAGGGGATCCCTTCCAACTTTGCAATTCTATGATTCCAAAAACCATCAAATATCATATATCTGAGACAAAACCTCCAAATCAGGGGGCTGGAACATACAAGCAGAGTTTCAAACCAGCTATGATTGGGAGCTCCCGGGCTTTAAAGTAGAATCTAATGACTGCTGTCTGGAGGAGCTGCTATAGCATAACAAATGCAGGACAAAGATAGAGCAGAACATTTGTGGTATAATAAGCTATGAGGTTTTAGCAGGAGGTTTTGGGGTATGCACAAGTGTGGCCACCAGAGAACTTTTGCACTTGCAAACTGTATTGAAAGCAAAATCAACTTGAATGAAATATTGGGTAAGCCCCACTCTGCATAATCAATCACACATGCCATTTGAATGGCAATGCCCATCAACTTTGGGGGGGGGTAGATATTGGCTCCTATGCTGAGCGCCTTTGGTGTAAACAGCAGTCAGGTAGGCGGTGACTTCCAGCAGAAAACTGGCAAGGAGTTTCTGATTCAGATCAGAGCATATTCCAGATTGGCATATTCAGAGCATATTCCAGATTGGCTTTCCCCCAAAATAAATGTGGGTAAAGCACACTTATTTAAACATGAGATCAAGGCTGGTGAAGTACAGCTTGCATTATACTTAAACAGTACTATTATTGCAACTTTCGTGTGCTTAAGCAACAGGGCAAAAACATAATGCAAGCTGTCCCTAATATGAAGCACTATGGATGCCTCTAGTAATGCATCCTTGGTCAATGCTCACTCCCCCATCTCCTGTCATTCTGCTGGCACACTGGATAAGCACACTGGATGTCAACTCTTGTTCCAGGAACTGCCAGTCCCTCCTGCTGGAAGCTATCAGTACAACAGGAAGGACTGGGCTGACTGGAGATGGTCAGAAATAGATCATATGAACTCTCTGGTGCTCCTTTACTGCCAGTAGTCCTTTTAGTTCTGGAAAGTGGTGACTGATTTCAGGAGCGACTCCAGGCCAAATAAGCTCTTAGTGTTTGTCCCAAGTTTTATCTTGTAATTTGACTAGACAAGTCATGTTAACAGCTGTAGAAGAGTTGACAGGAGGAAAATGAGAAGAAACCACTTCCAAATATGGTTGGAATTGGTCAAGAGCATGCTTCTATTTTGGCCTCATATTTCTCCCCCTCTCTTTTAATTTCATTTCTTCTTCATGAGAACTTAATTTGGTTTCCTGCCCCCAAATATACCTCCACCTTCTTCTTATTTGTTTGTGGAGAGGTGAAATTAAGGTGCATCAAAGCAATTGTTATCTCACACTTTCCCATCGCTCTCCTTATTGCAAAAAGTATTATATTTTGGGAAGTGGGTTTGTTATGGAAGACCTCAGCATTATTTACCTGAGATACTTGTACACCAGAAGCAAATGTTAAAAACAAACAAACAAACAAACAAACAAACAAACAAACAAACAAACAAACTGTAACTTCACAACCTGAATATGTGATTGAATTCCACCAGAAAATAGTGACAGTCTAGAAGTGCCATGAATACTACTGTTGAACTAAGTTGAACTTGTGTTTCAGTAAACGTACATAGAATTGCACTGTGATCATCATACCAGTGATTCCTAAAAAACTTCTGCTTAAGAGCCTTTTAAGTACCGTATTTTTCGTTCCATAGGACGCTCCGTCCCATAGGACGTACCTACTTTTTTGGGGGGGGGAAATAAAGGAAAAAAATTTTTCCTTTTTTTCCCCCAAAACTCAGGTCGGGAACAGTGGGATGGCGGCGCTGCGCCTCCCGGTGTCCCCCGAGCTTGTGGGGCTGGCCGATGTCTGCCCGGCGTGAGGGGCGCTCTGCTTCAGGGCGCCCCACGCGCCGGGCGGCAGGCTGCAGACACCTGCGCGAAGCACGGGGCGTCCTCCGGAGGGCGCCCCGTGCTCCGCGCTGCAGACTGCCGCCCGCAAGCCTTGCGCTCCCGGGGGGAGATCCCCCGGTGCGCAAGGCTTGTGGACACCTGCGCGAAGCACGGGACGTCCTCCGGAGGGTGCCCCGTGCTCCGCGCTGCAGACTGCCGCCCGCAAGCCTTGCGCTCCCGGGAGATCCCCGGGTGCGCAAGGCTTGCGGACACTGCGCGAAGCACGGGACGTCCTCCGAGGGCGCCCCGTGCTCCACGCTGCAGGCTGCCGCCCGCAAGCCGTGCGCGCCCAGGGGATCTCCCCGGGTGCGCAAGGCTTGCGGACACCTGCACGAAGCACGGGGCGTCCTCCGGAGGGCGCCCCGTGCTCCGCGCTGCAGACTGCCGCCCGCAAGCCTTGCGCTCCCGGGGAGATCCCGGGTGCGCAAGGCTTGCGGACACCTGCGCGCAGCACGGGACGTCCTCCGGAGGGCGCCCCGTGCTCCGCGCTGCAGACTGCCGCCCGCAAGCCTTGCGCTCCCGGGAGATCCCCGGTGCGCAAGGCTTGTGGACACCTGCGCGAGCACGGGACGTCCTCCGGAGGGTGCCCCGTGCTCCGCGCTGCAGACTGCCGCCCGCAAGCCTTGCGCTCCCGGGAGATCCCCGGGTGCGCAAGGCTTGCGGACACCTGCGCGGGCACGGGACGTCCTCCGAGGGCGCCCCGTGCTCCGCGCTGCAGGCTGCCGCCCGCAGGCCGTGCGCGCCCAGGGGATCTCCCGGGCGCGCAAGGCTTGCAGACACCTGCACGAGCACGGGGCGTCCTCCGGAGGGCGCCCCGTGCTCTGCGCTGCAGGCTGCCGCCCGCAAGCCTTGCGCTCCCGGGAGATCCCGGGTGCGCAAGGCTTGCAGACACCTGCGCGAGCACGGGACGTCCTCCGAGGGCGCCCCGTGCTCCGCGCTGCAGAGCAGCCGCCCGCAAGCCTTGCGCTCCCGGGGAGATCCCCGGGTGCGCAAGGCTGCGGACACCTGCGCGAAGCACGGGGCGTCCTCCGGAGGGCGCCCCGTGGTCCGCGCTGCAGGCTGCCGCCTGCAGCCTTGCGCTCCCGGCGGGAGATTCCCGGGTGCGCAAGGCTTGCCGGCACCTGCGCGGGCACGGGGCGTCCTCCGAGGGCGCCCTGTGCTCCGCGCTGCAGGCTGCCGCCCGCAAGCCGGGCGCGCCCAGGGGATCTCCCTGGGCGCGCAAGGCTTGCGGGCACCTGCGCGGAGCACGGGCATCCTCCGGAGGGCGCCCGTGCTCCGCGCTGCAGGCTGCTGCCCGCAAGCCTTGAGTGCCCAGGGAACTCCCCGGGTGCGCAAGGCTTGCAGATAGCTTCCTGGAGCCTGAAGAGCGAGAGGTGTCGGTGCGCACCGACGCCTCTCGCTCTCCAGGCTTCAGCGAAAGCCTGCATTCGCTCCATAGGACGCACACACATTTCCCCTTCATTTTTGGAGGGGAAAAAGTGCGTCCTATGGAGCGAAAAATACGGTACATGGCTGTGGATTCTGGGGAAGCAATGAACTTAGAAACAAGTGTTTGCAGGTGAGGAGGGGGAAATGACTGTCCAAACATAGTTTTCTGGCCTCTATAAGCACTTGGGAAATGGCGTCTTCATTTGCCACTTGTAAACCTGAGAGCCAGCAAATAAGTATTAAGGGTGGAGATCAAACTAAGAAGGAAACTTCTTAGCTTGTGGAGTTTAAGTGAAACATCATATTGGCACAGTAAGCCCATAAAGCAGAGTGAGTGGGTGTTGCTGTTACAGCAGTATCACTAGACACAACAGCACTATTGTGAAAAGCTCTTGCATAACATGGGATTATATGGAGAGGGCTATAGGTGGCAGTGGGTCTGATGCCTCTTCATGGAGTCTTAAAAGGATTTTGGCCATTGGGATTGTGGCTGAATAGACAAAAACAGTCCCATTTGACCTCTATAGCTTTTACATTAATGATTTCAATCAGGGGTTTTTTCCAGTTGGAACTCACCAGAACTCCGTTCCAGCACTTCTCAGGTGGGTGTCATTGGTATTATAAGAGAACAAGGGAGGTGTTCCTGATGTGTTCTGGCACCTATTTTTCTTGAAAAATAGCGCTAGTTTCAATGCAGAAAGCTTTGTAGTGCTATGTAGCAGTGAGAAAGCAGGCATTCTGATTCACAGCCTAGTTATGGATGCAACTTGTCTTAGTCCTTCTTCAGTTCTAACTCCTCTGTTTTGTGAAATGGGTTCCATGTTTTCAATAAATCAAATTGCTTCTTAGACCGTATCCCACTGTTAATGTCTTCTTTCCCCCTTTTTCTTTGTATTGCAGTATTCTGGATTTCATACAGAAAGATCTGAATCAGACCATGAAAGCCAGTGGGGTGGCAGCCCACTGACCGACACTGCCTCTCCACAATTGATGGATCCCATTGAAAGGCCAAACTCTCAGCATCACGATGTCTCCTGTGCCTATAGACAATACTCAGACCGCAGTGCTCTCTGCTATGGTTTTGCACTTGACCATTCCAGGTTGGCTGATGACAGACACTTCCACACTCAGGCCTGTGAAGGCAGCAGGTGTGAGGCTGGCCGATACTTCCTTGGCACACCGCAGTCTGGGAGGGAAACATGGTGGGGTACCCGATCTGGCCTTCCCTTAACCAAATCTTCTCCTGAGAGCAGAGAAGCCTATGAAAACAGCATGCCTCATATAACTTCCATACACCGAATTCACGGTAAGTGGTAAATGTACTGGATGGCAGGTTGTGGTAGCAACATTGAGCCAGGGTTTGAAAGGCCTGCCTCGAATGGTCTCAAGTTGACCATTTACGGAGCTAACAATGGAGTTAGGAGATATCTGTGGTCTGTTTGTTGACTAGCACCTTACCTGGAAGTAGGGATGGGGGAGAATTTCAGTTTGGGTCACATTTAAAGGCGAATCTATCCAATTCAGACATTCCAAAACAGTGTGAGCACCAAAACACAGCCATCCTTCAAAATTCACACTTATCCAAATTTTAAGATAATTTCTGTACCACTTAATATATAAAAATAACTCTAAATCGTGTGTAGAAAACTAAAGTAGCAGCAACAGGCAACTTAAACAACAATCAAATGTTGCAAAAATACAGTTCCATAAACAAATAATACATTAATGCAAATTGTGAATAAATACAGACCTAAATCAATGTCTTCTCCGTCTAATACACCTCCCTCTCAGCCTCCTGGCTCTCACCCAGAGCCCAAACAAACTCACCGCTCACCCTCATAATCTCACAAAAGAAGAAGATTCTTGGAAACTAGATATTAGTGAGAATGACAAACAAAATACATTATATTTGGAAAAATTGATTTTACCCATCAATATTCAGGGCACTGGTGTGTGTGTGTGTGTGTGAGAGAGAGAGAGAGAGAGAGAGAGAGAGAGAGAGAGACAGACAGACAGACAGACAGACAGACACAGATTTTTAAAAGGACCATTTCAGCCAGTCAATTGTTATTATTCTGCATTATCTGAATCCCAAATTGGGATTCAAGGTGGCTTGCAACATTTAAAACAACATTATAAAATACAATTAATAATTAAAAAAAATGATTGAAATACAACAGAACACATTTAACATCAACAAATTATATGGCTACTTGTAAGTTAATTCTGCTTGCACAGTAGGACTTCCAAAAGTGTGACCATGATTGAAGTGTCAAGCATCTTTAAAATTAGGGAATATTTTTTCTATTAAAAATGAAGTTTTACACTCATTGGCCATATTTTGACAAGTGGGGGCATCCCCTGTCAATCATTTAATACCATAATATGGCATCAGGTGGATCTGATCTTTGCAGAAAGCAATGGAACTTGTATTTGGTGCAAAATTTAATAGTGCTGAATGCAAGCCAATTATAATAATAAAAAAGCCTTCCAATACAGGGCTGCCTTCAGATGTCTTCTAAAAGTTGTGTAATTCTTTATCTCCTTGACATCTGAAGGGAGGGCGTTCCACAGGGAGGGTGCCACTACCAAGAAGAGTATAACAAAAGAATGACAAGGAGTCCACTCTAAACTGTGCATTTTTTGTTGTTCTTTGGCAGCTGTGGCTTTACCTGTTCCACACCTGATGTCAGGTGTATGTGACAGGCGGGCATGGCCAGCCAAAAATCACTTTGTGGGACAAATTGGGCAGCTGATTTGGTGGGCCTAGAGTGACCCATTAGCTGCAGGCTCCCCCCCCCCCCACTGCCCTAGAGTCTAAACCAGAATTCCCCAACTTGGTGCGATGTTGTGAACTACAAATTCCACAATCCCTGACCACTGGTCACACTGTCTGGGATTGAAGGTTGCTAGAGCCTAAGAAGATCTAGGTTGGCAAAGGCTGACTTGGACTGTGACAGGGGAGTTCTGTCAGTTGTGCCCTTCTGCTGATACTTCAGTGTTGTGAACTGGTAACAAGGTCAGAGAAACAGGTGGTGGGGAGGCTTAATTTCACCATTTCATGGTTGCAGAAGACTTGTAGTTATTATAAGAGTTATATTCCCACTGGGCGTGCATAAGGTCTGAACGTTCTGCTGTTCTCTGACTGTGTACAGCCCGTTGCTGATTGCTTCTCTCCTTTGTTTTACCCCACTTTCTAGGAAGAGGGCACTGGGATGAAGAAAGCGTTGTCAGTTCCCCAGACCCTGGTTCTGCTAGTGAATCAGGTGACCGATACCACTCTGAGCAGTATCAGGGCAGCCCACACGAGCCCAGCAAAATTGAGACTCTCATAAGAGCGACTCAGCAAATGATTAAAGAAGAAGAAAACAGGCTGCAGTTGCGGAAGTCGACTCCCGATCAGCTGGTTTCCATTAACGGAGCAGGGAAAAAGCACTCTGTTTGCTTTGCAAGCTACCACCACCACCAGCAACAACAGCTGAGAGGAGATGCCTGCAGGGTCCCTAGTGTCACCAACACATCTCCCTGCGAACACACGCAGCAACAAGATGGGAAGATGATGAGCCCCCATGACAATGACTATGACAACAGCCCCACGGCACTGTCTAGAATAAGCAGCCCCAATTCTGACCGAATTTCTAAATCCAGTTTGATACTGGCTAAGGACTGCCTTCAGTCAGAAGTGTCGCCTCATCAAACTCCGGGGGATAGCTCAGCAGAATCCCCAAACTATTACAATTCCCATCGGCAGTACTTTGATAAGCATGCATACACGCTAACAGGATATGCTCTGGAGCACCTTTACGACAGCGAAACCATCAGGAACTATTCTTTGGGTTGCAATGGGTCACACTTTGATGTGACGTCTCACCTACGGATGCAGCAAGATCCAGCACAGGGACATAAGGGGACATCTGTTATAATAACCAATGGGAGCTGATGGGTGTTTCCCAACCCCCTTTTCATTTCTCTTCTTTTTAAAAAAAGTTTGTGCTAGGAAAATATCTTTGCAGTAGTAACAGCAGGCACACGTGTTTTGATACCCTTGCTGTTACTGGCATTTGATAAAACTACAATGCACTAGAGAGAATACTTGTAAGGTACTGGGGAAGTGTTGCTTTATTTAAGTTACTGTTGAAAATGCACTGGTCTCAGTTAAGGTTACAGCAGTCAGTTGAATCACAAAGCTGATGCTACATTGTGGTGGAGGAGATCTATTCTGGGAGCTTCTGGGGTACATCAAGTGAGCAGATTTTTCATTGTGTGGAAATGTATGAGGATGTAGAGAGAGCGATTGAATTTCTAAGCCGCTGGCTACCTGCCACACCCTCATAAGACAAAAACTGCTATGCACTCTTTCCATGAAAAAGAAAGTGAAATGCAGCCCCCCCCATTTTAAAGCAAAGCTATCTGTGCAGTTTCATATTTATACTGGTCCTGCTTCTCCAGTGACTGCAAAGAATGGCTAGATAAAAGTTATAGGGCCGGTGTGGTTCTTTGATAGGGTATTGGCTATTATATGGGTATTTGACCTGGAAGCTGACTTGCTGGACAACAAACACAGACAGGAAGAGAACCGCTTGCTGAGGTCATGTGACAAGTGAGAGACAGAAGGGCAATGAGCCATTCTTATCCTGGTTTGGAGTAGCAGAAGAGATGTAACTGCCAAGGCCATTGACTCCTGGGGCCTGGGGCACCGTGGGGCCCCCAAACATTTTTTTGAAGTGGCAGGGCCCCCTCAATGTTCAGAAGGGGCCCCTGTGCAATGTCAGGACGTTGAGTGCTGCTGCGCATAGGTTCCTTCAATCTTCTGGAAACTGCATAGTTATACAGGAGAGGAGACTATCAGATTGTGATCACTTTGTGGGAAATGGTTACATTCTGGGAAGGAGTATAGTAGAAGATAGAGCATAGTGGAAGTTAAGCAAGAAAAGGAAGAGCATTCGAACATAATTCATTTCCCACAACTTGGCATGCCCTGTCCTCGGTCTAAGAATGACTGAGTTGTGTGTGGAGAGAGAACTTCCTGATTTGCTAAAATAGATGTGGGGAACATTTGGCCCTCCAAAATGGTGCTGAACTGCAACTCCCATAATCACTAGCCATTGGCCAGGCTTCCTGGGGCTGATGGGAGCTGTAGTTCAGCTACATCTGAATGGCCAAAGGCTCATCCTACCTATGCTAAAAAAATAGAAGGGATTGTGGAAAAGTCCAACAGAGGTGATGTTAGAGAGGCTGAGGGTCAGAAACACAGGTGTGTCAGAAAAACAGAAACACAACTTGGAGGTGGGGAGAAAGGAGGGAAAATTCAGCAAAAGTGTGGAGAATGGTTGGCTTGCCCAGTTTCAGAAAATTCTGAAAATGCATCAAAGCTGGCAGGGATGATAAGAAACAGGCCAGTGAAGTGCAACTTTCAATGGTCCCATGAGAGCTCTTTGGGAATGATTGGGGCTTATGCAGAGGCCCCAATGGTTGCCGTGAAAATGTTTTGCTATCGTACAAGTATCAACACAGTGTAATGCCTCCTCTGTCACATACAGAGTTGGTCAAGCAAGTGGACTAATCATGAGACCTCGTATTGATTCGATTATTCCTAATGTTTAAAATTATCAACCACAACTTTGCCGTGACATCGGGAAGCTTTGTGAATTACTGCCACCTGGTTTCTGAGGTATCTTCCAGAGAGATTAGCCAATGTTGGCTATTTAATGAGCATTTATCTTGCTTTGTCTGTGGGGTGGTAGGACGGCACTGCATCAAGAAAGTGTTATCCCTCGCTTTCCACTACGTGCCCCTATCACTTTCCTTATTGGAAAAGGTCTGATCTTTGGGGGGAGTGTGTTTTGCAAGATGAACTTTCCAGGATGTATTTGAATCCCACTCAAAAATTGTGATAGTCTGGAAGTATGCTGGGTCTTTAGCATACTATGCCCTGATGTTTCTAAGCCTTTCCTCTTAGCCGAAAGTGTGAAATCCACTCACAACGGCACTGCAGTAATGATGCTTTGGATTGGACTGTGTTTGATATTCTGCATCATGCAGTATCCTCTATGCTTCTGACTAGCTTTGAAATCCCTGTGGCAGGTGCCTAGCCCAGACTCCAGAGCCCCTAAAACGCTCCACATAATGTAGTTGAGATTCCTGCATTGCAAGGGATTGGACTAGATGACTCTCAAGGTCCCTACAACTCTATGATTCTATGTATCCCTTCCAGCCATGTGGAAGAAGTGATGCCTAATGTGATACAACCATGTTACTGAATACAGCCTTTGATGATCACAGTATGAGTCTGGCAGCCCATTCCCCCCACCCACATACTGCTTACATAAATCACTATGAAGAAGTGCCACTGGCAAACATGGTTGTGCTGGGTTAGCTCTTACATGATGCATCCATGTGTATGCTCTGGGTGGAAGGTTTTACAGTGTCTGCACATTCTGTCCAAATGTCTGAAGAGTATGATGCTGCAGTCTAAATCTACCTTCTACCCACTCCCCTCTTTCAGTGTAGATTCATTTAGGGTTATGGTAGTAGTGTGTTGTATAAAAAGAAAAAAAGAAAGCTGAGATTCTATGGATCCCATCAAGAGTTGTCAGAGTCCGATAGCACACTCTAGAGTCTAAGACCTGAAAGGTAATCCATTTGGTGCAGCTGTTTAAGCTAGAATGTCCATATGCTTGAGCCTCAGCTAGATCTCTTCACAATGAAGTGCTTATGCAATGCCTCTGCCTGGTTATGACAACGGCCACCTGTTAATTTTAAATGGTTATGTGGTCTATCAAATTTTAAATAAAAATTACATGCTGTTGTACAGCATATTTTACAAAAAGGATAGGAGAGGATTGAAGGACTAGGCTGTCTTGTGCATAAATGCAATTGGTCTTATTTTCAGAGCTTTAATGCCCCCACCCCCAATTAATATTGTGAAATGGTGCATTAATACACCCAAAAGGTGGGTATTTGGTTTAAGATTCAATGCTCCAAATCAGTTGAAACGTGTGCTACGATTTTGGAGTGCTTAACAAATACTGCAAAATGCATGTTGACGTGATGTTCTTCCTCATCTGGAAGACTTCCTGGGGGTGCTTGATTTTTTTTGTTTTGTTTTTGTTTTAAAACAACAACTAAATGGTTATTTGCTTTCTTTTGCTAATTGGACACTTGCTTTCTTTTCACTGAAACTCAAGTGTTTTTCATCACAGTTTGAACATTCTTTCATGTATCTGCCAAAACCTGGAATCTATCCCCAGAGCTAAAATGCACTTAAAATTAAAGCACGAAATCCAAAATCCAGCCTTTCTGTTGATTTTGAGCTTATATGCAGTCAGTTTCCTCTAACTTTCATGTTTGCTGTATAGTTTTGGTGCAGTTGCCTTCTGTAGAATGATCTGCTCCCAGGAAAACCACAGACTGGGTTTAGCTCTGGCCTGGGTGATTCTGATAGGAATTATATTACTTTATTTGTTTATGCATTTAAAATTTTTCTTATTTCGTCACATGTCTTTCCTCTGATCTTTCCAAGAATCTGGAAACAATGCAAGTAAAACAGCAAGGCTACTCATTCCCATCAAAATAGCATAAACTGCCATCTATCTGAGGCTGTTCTTTTATTTATGGTTGACTGTTACCTCCAGAATGTGCCTCAACAGAAAATTAAATATTTTGATAGAGAAATTCAGAAGCTTTTGTTGTTTTTGCAGAATAGGCACTGCAATGCATTTTTATTTTGCATAATAAAACAATATCGTGTATTTATCATGGAGACTACCGTAGGACAAGCTAAGGACAACTGATGCTCACTTCAAAGACAGAAAAGTCTTGTGGTTTAATCTTGGCTTCAGATGGGAAGAATATACCTGCTGATGAAAGATGGCTCATTTATGAGTTGTGGCACTCTTCATGGTAGGAAACAGTAAAGCTGGCATTAAAGACAAAGACTTGGAATTCAGAAGGTGGCAGAATCAGCATTAGATGCCTTTGCTAACGCAGTTTTGGTAGCCACCCTTTCTCCTGCAGTTGCTTTGCCATGTGCTCTTCTATTCTGAACCCATTTTTTTGTTTGTTTGTTTGTATGTATGTGTGTCGAGGGTGTGAGGGCTTCAGAGTGAAGGAGAAGGCAGGACAGTCCTGTTCTGTGAATGGAACATGTTACAGTCCAAGCCAAAGTGTCTTGTCCTAGCCAAGTTAGGTGCACTTAAGCCACTGAAATCATACCCTTAATTGCACCCAGCTTGGCTACGATTGGGCTGAAAAATCGAAGTGTCCAGTTCTAGTCACAGCTACTAACCTCTCTTTTTAACAGCGAAAACAAATATGCTCAATTATTATTGTAGTCATTTAAGCTATTTATAAAAACAAACTCTTATTTATTTTTAATGCATGTTGCTTACTTTTCAAATGGAAAAAGTGTTCTTAAAACCAAGCAATTACATAAGCTTATTATGAAAGAACAGTGTTTTACTTTAAGAAGAAAAGAGAAATTAATATACACAACTATTTTCTGTTAAGTATTGATATGGTCTTATTTTTCCTTAAAGGGATTTTTTAAAGGTCAAACATAACTGCATCCAAGAGCACTTCTAAGATAACGACGCATTTTGCTTTGTTTTTTCACGGACATGCAGACACCCTGTTTCTAAACCATTTGGGTGGTATTCCATTGGCGCAAGGGCATGGGCTTTGAATTCATCAGGGAGGGGGTCTGCTAATGGTAAACAGATTTCTGTGGGGACTGCAGGGTGGAGGGGACATCAGCAAAAACCCCTCCCCTCCTCCTGTTCCAGTAGTGGATGCCTTCTGTTGGAGCAACAGCAACAGGAGGACCAGCCGGATTCTACCCACTGACTTAAAAGCAGGTCCCATTTATTCTAAAAGAAATCAATTCCAAATAAGCATGCTCAGGTTCAGTGAATAAGGTGATTACTATAAGCATATTTACTT